TTTTCGCAGACATACTTTCATTGGACAATTTTTTAGATAGCCCGTGCAGTCTAAATCAGTTACCTACTATTCATAGTATTTGCTATGAGTATTTGCCATTTACATGAATTAACGAAACCACCCTTAAGCAAAGCTTGCTAGATCATAGCTATATACAAAGCTATATTGTTTTTTATTGTTTCATGGCTTATAAGCTGACCAAAGTTGCAGTGTTAAATGGTCTGAAATTTTGATTCAAGGTGCATACAAATATTCTAGATCAACTCTACGCAACTAGTCAGTTCTCATTCTGTTATCTGTGCTTGAGTTGAATCAAGAGTTACGTGTAATGAGCGCTCGACACCAACGATGTCTTTATGGGGTTAAATTTGAGCTTGCCTACACAATCATGTACTTGGTATATTTATATTTTTGATCTTATTTATAAATTTAATGATTGTGAATATAGGTCGCGGTGTCGTCGGGAGGCACGGCTGGCTGGCTGGCTACCTGCTCAACACTTGTGCGGCCAGACCTTCGAGCTCGTGGTCTGCCGACTCTTCCCTCTTTCTTTTGCCTCGTTTTCTTCATTTATTTCAGTTTTCTCTATTCCCTCTTTTCTTTTCCTCGTTTTCTTCATTTATTTCCGTTTTCTCTCTTCACTCTTTTCTTTTCCTTGTTTTCTTCATTTACTTCCGTTGTCTCTCTTCCCTCTTTACTTTTCCTCGTTTTCTTCATTTATTTCCGTTTTCTCTCCCATCTTTTCTTTTCCTCGTTTTCTTCACTTATTTCCGTTTTCTCTCTTCCCTCTTTTCTTTTCCTCGTTTTCTTCACTTATTTCCGTTTTCTCTCTTCCCTCTTTTCTTTTCCTCGTTTTCTTCATTAATTCCGTTTTCTCTCGTATTTTGATGCTATTTCTGAAGCTCTTCTGTTTCCATGAGCTCTTTTTGTTTAATGAAGTTTTGGTTTTGCCATCGTTGGAGTTTTGTTCTAAAGTTACAATTTACGTTTTGAACTAGTTATCCAATGCATCGAAGTTCTTATGTATTCATATTGAAAAACTACAAAAGAATATTTATTTTTTACTGTAACTGATCAATTTTTGTAATGCGTATTTCTTGCTTGAACATTGATCGATTGACGGCCACCTTTAAGGGCAGTTGCGGTTCACTTTTTATAAACATAATGAAAAAAAATTGTGGCGAACGAATCATGACGCCAAAACGTTCTCTGTACTCTAGCATGGTGATCCTAGTTACCTTTATATTTGTTGAGTTGTATAGAATGTTGAACAGTTCAACATAGTAAGGTGGCCGATGTTATAAGCAAACCGTAATTTGATATTTTCATGTCTTACGTACGATTGAAGCTTTTTATCGAGTTGCAAGGAATTTTATAATATGGGGCCGCCTACGGCAGCTTTTTTATACATGCAACCATCAGCGCGCTGAGCGCAAATGTCCAGTTTTTCTGGCACTACTTTTTGGTAGCTGAAGGACACATTTTGCACGGGTTCACATAGAATCATGATCTCCTGTTTTTTATGTATTAGTTTATTTTTTATAAGCTTGAAACTCCTACCCAAAGCGCAGCTTCGGGCGATTCATTTTGCTTTGTACTTTAGTTGTAAGAGTTCGTCTTATAAAACCTTTCATTTCCGCGATATCATATGTGGTTTTAGAACCACGGCTCTTGCACCGATCCTAAGAATCATTATATTTTTTATTTAAAAGTCATCTCTTCTATTTGTTCATTGATTTTATTTTTCGTCTTCTAAAACAGTTGGTCTTTTATCGACTAACTCTTCGCGTCACATTTGCCAACGATTTTTTGAGAGGATTCATATTTATTAATTTTTCTATTTTTTCACACTCTTTTCTCAATGCTGCTGCGCAGTGCAAATGTTGTATTTAAACCAGTTGATTATTCTTTTGAATTTGATTTGTGAAATGAGATGTTTGAAGTTATTTCTTATAATTAAGTAAAGTTATTTTTCTAGTATTGTAAACCTTTACATTTGTTATTACTGAAGAGTACGTAAGGAATAGGCAGTCTGCCTTACTGCAATAACCGTACTAGACTGTGTGCCAGTTTGCATTGTACACAAATCATCGGAGCCTGCAACAACAAATGTCATTAATAACATTGCACAGAATACTTATTCGTTGTAAAAATTTAAATTCCTTCGGAGGACCATGCTGAATTAGTTCTGGTTTCATGCTGGTTTTTACCTCAGTTGGCAAGTTAAGTTAGTAAAATTTTACTTATTTATAGAATTTTTCAAGAGTTTAGCTTATTGTAGTTTCATCGATTTGTTAGAGTCGATTTGATGTTATCGACGTACGTTTGACGCTAACCTGATGAGACGGCAGATGCCGAGCCAGATAGCGCACATGGCATAAACACGCGCGCCCTGACCTCTTACCTCACTTTACTGCCCCTGTACTCATACAGAGCTTGTATTATTTTCTACTTTCTGAGTCTTGAATCGTTTTCGTGATCGATCCGAGGATTTCGCTTATGTAGGTTTATGGTGTCTACATTTATTTCGCAAATTTTGAATAAATAGTCGACGAAAACTACCATTGAACGTTTTCGATTACCTATGCGCTACTTCCCAGTGCTACGTCAATATTGCAGAAACGGATGTCACTTAAATACTCTTATTACTTTTTACTATTGACGATTTTAATTGCTATTAGTAACCTTGTCTATCTCATTACTAATAGTTATCTGCATGAACTTGATATGCTTTTTCACATGGTAGAGCTTTGCCTCCAGTAACTGTGTCAAGTTTACGGCTTTATTTGCCCTGAAATATTTCTGACGGCCTATTCTCAACCTTCATGTTCACTCCAAAATATGAGTAATTACTAATTAGTACGCTTATGAATATCTTAAGACATCATGCCACTGCAACATGTACCAGTGCCTTATATGAGCCCTAAGCTTCCTGGACCTTATTTCTTAGTTTCTATCATCAAGTAATTTAAATAATGTTCGATCTAAGGACAGCATCGGATGCATCCCCAGTAGAGTGCCCTTATTTTAGGTTTCTCCTAAACCTTGGCCATGCACCCACTAGACTTCTTTTTGCTGCTCATCCTGCAGCTGAAGCAGGAGCCATCGCAATTATTTACTCGTGCAATCCAAGCCACCGTTGAGTCCTGAAGGAGATGAGCTTTTTTCTATTTTCGTGTGGCTCATTCGATCAAGGTTGACATTTTATTAGGAATAATTTTTTCAGTATTTAGTTTATCAATGAGTCATTGTTCCTCTGAACGCGTCGATGGCAGCGTTATGTCTCAAGTACGGCAGTCCAGCGGCGTAATGAACGAGTCTAAAATGAAATATGAAATTAATATTCTTGAAAATGTCTTGGCGTTTCATGAAAAGAAAGTTTTCTTCTGCTATGATGTTATCGCATTCGCATTACTTAAGATACAACCACAAGTATAAGACTGGCTGCATGTTCATGCGATCGATCAAAAACTGCTGCAAGTTCTAGAAGAAAATTTATTAAAATGTCATTGAAAGAATGCAATAATTCGCAGAGTCGACACATCCATGCAGGTTTAGGAGACTCGGCTTAGCCGTTTACCCTGCCGCTCATTATACGTGAAGAACGTAAGTCTCGCTTTCCCCGACGAAGTTTCTCTCGTCACTTCAATATATTCTTCTGCATGCCTTGGTCGGCGTCATTCCTGCCGTGCGTCAAGAATTTCATTAAAGACATTTTAGCGCTTGATTAATGGTAGTGATTCTTTTTTTGTACAAAGAAGATCCCGCATTTGAGAAAATGTCTAATTCTTGAACTTCTGTGTTCTCGTGGACTTCTTGGACATACTGTGTCGACATATCTTCCGCATCTTCACGTTTTTATGGGTTCGTTACGACTGGAAATATTATATTCCTAATTTTTCAATCTCTTGTCTTGACAATGTATCGAAATTTTAACTCTATAAACACCATGTAACGCTGGTTAAACCTTACGGCTTTCCAGTTTTAAGTCTAGTCGCGGTCAGCTGACAAAGGTCTTACCCGCATCGCAAATGCGCACGAGACAGCTGTGGCTAGCGCACACTCGGAGAAATGAGACAGATCTTGTCCAAAAAGTGATGCACTTTTCGCCTATGTGTGGGTCATTCTTGCCTTGTTAGGCTCGAAAAAGGGCGTATCAGTGCTACGTACTGAAAGTGTCACTATTTGTACTGTATGACCCATCAATTCTCTGAGTGCAACTTATACGTTGTTCCATTAGTGTGCACTGCTTACGTTTCTAGTTCTAACTACACTAGTGTATCTTAGGTGTAGCATATAATTATTCACTTAATGACCATGTCAACTACCGACTAACGCTTAGTTACCATCACGAGTACCGGTATGGCATTAATTGCCTCTAATGTACTATTTCATTTTTATTATATATAAACGTTTCATTATCTATTCGTTGGGATGGGATAAACATTGTTCATTATTCGTTTTATGAACAATGTTTGTTCATTAAACTTTATGTTGTGCAGTTATAGATACGTCAGGCCTCCCCTAATTTCCCCTATGCTAGCGTTTGTGTGTGACAAACGTAAAGGTTTTTGCCGAGAAGGTTTTTGCCGAGAAGGTTTTTGCCGAGAAGGTTTTTGCCGAGTGCTAATAAAAATTTTCCCATTTCAATCTAGCGCGCAGTTTTCGCATCGGCTGCGACTTGAACCTGACGCAATGCTTCGAGGCCAAATTATTGTGGTTGTAATAAAAATTAACATTTCTACAATTCTTCTATTGCCGTTGACTGCAGCAAAACAGCGTTGAATCTAAATCCGATTGGACGAATATATTCATCATGTTAAAAAAGATTCCACTTACGTACTCGCGTTGTTTATTTTTTGTTAATCTTTAATCATAGGGTTTAATTTCATTTATTAATTTTGTGGAATATTGACTGTATAGTAGTCCGCAGAAAATTTATCGCCAATAATGTATATAATGTATTGTATTCTTCATAACAAGAATATTGTTCTTTGCAGCGTCGACCGCCAGGAGTAACTCTGAGATCGACATGGCTACGGCAACAGCACAACTGCTGGAGGACGGCTGGCTGCAAGGGTGAGTCTGCCCTTCCGATGCTTCCAATTTGATGCTTCCTCCAATGGAAATATTCAACCAACGTGGAGATTTTCCTTTTTTATGTATTGTTTGTTTCTCGTTTTTCTATTTTTTTGACAGTCAATTTAATTTTCTTTTGTTTTCTTATTCGATTGTTATTCAGTGTATCAAGGATCCAAATTCACACAGAGTTTTAGAAATGTTTGAATTCTTGACTCTTTGGCTACTAGATATAAAGAGCTAATTTTATTTTCTTGTGTAGGTACATTAGTAAACCTGATGGTACGGTTTCAATATTGAAATCGTCCAAGAAGCCGGCTTGTATTGCGACGGCGCATCTACACGGCATTTCGACGTCTAAATTAGCTTGCGCCCCTCAGATAAGATAGGCTGCTAGTTGTTCTAAGCTCCTTATCTTATCAGTCACGGATCTTCTAAGTTTTATCCTGGGAGCAGCTCACGTGAAGAGTTTCTATTGTAAACCGATCTATATGGTATCGAACTCCGGAAATTAGACATGATTTAAATTCTGGTCCAGAGGTGATGTTTGCTGAATAATAATCTAGTCTCATTAAATTCTGAAGCAATGAATTTCATAATTTTATTAATTCCGTTCAATGAGGATATTATCTTTAGCCTCATAACTTTTTTCAGTATTTTCGGACATAGATTATTCTGTGCAATTTCAATGGGGTTTTCCTATAACGTTCAATTAATTATTCTTTGAGATTAAAGCCTCTAAGCCTTGCATCTATAGACCTTACCTAAAATCCAGGTATGGACTGTTCCGTTGATCCTAGCCTGCTCCCTGCTGTAGATCGTGGTTAGGTTCATTTATAACATGACTGCAGGCTCATTTATAACATGGCTTGTCCCTACAGAGATGGTAGCTGGTCCCTACAGAGATGGTAGCTGGTCCCAACAGAGATGGCAGCTGGTAGTAACAGAAATGATGCCTTGCCGGCACTGAAATTTTTTTTGGCTGGCACTGAAGTGATGTCTGGTCGGTCGGATAGTAGAGAAAATATATCTCTGCGGTAAGAAATCTTATTTGTTCAGAAAACTGATATTTTTTCATTTTCGGAGTCATTTGGTTTGGCATGAATCTTCCCTAGATTGCACTCCTATCATAAATAATAAGTCACTCTTCTATATTACGAGTTAACATAACATAGTGATGTCGGCGCTAAAGAGTAGGCCTGATGTGGCCTGTCGCCGAATCTTGAACTTTTCGTGCCTTGTTCACAGAAGATCTAAAATCGTGTCATTTGACCGGATCTTTTCATGACTGACGATAGTTTGAAATAGCTACTCGACTTCCACCGGGTTCGATATGGTGCTATTGGCATTTCAAATCTGAACATATATTTTTCCATAGCTTTATCTAGTCTGTTCTTGAACGCGTTCATACTCGGAGCGCCAACGATGTCATTGATTTTTAACTCTGATCGCAAAGTGAAGCGTTCAGGAGAGTTAAACGGTGCAGTACTCAACATGACCGGGATATTTTGTACTCCATAAAGTTCTGGGAGTATAAGGGTGATGGCGCTTCAGATCCAACGTATTTTGCTGCCTTCAAAAAAGAATGAATGGGTCGTATTGAATAAATCGTGACACTTTCTGCGAGTAACACTCATACGCTAGACCAGAGTGGGTCAGGATAAACCACACATAAGGGCAATAAGCGCACGTACGTTTACGTAAGGGTTACGCTTGGGTTCAGGTCAAATCACCACCACGAATTAGAATGACTCTGTGAGAGGAATACCCAAACGTCTTAAATCTTAGAGGACGCCTCGACACGTGCCTTCACTCGTGCACGGTTTCACTTTCGCTCATCAATAGTTAGTCTCTTGAGGGGCAATTGCGCGGTTCTGACTCAAATACATTATATTGCAGTTTATTTTTAGCGCGTTTTCTCATTTAAGGAAAAATTGCACTATTGTGCTCGCCATGTCCGTCTGTCCGTCCGTCCGTCTGTCTGTCTGTCCGTCCGTGACTTCACGTTTTCGTCGACGAGAAAATGCGCTCTCTGTTACTCACTGCATGCAGTGATTACTGAGTTTTATTTTTTTTGGAGTAATTAGTGCCTGTTCATGAAACTGCAGCAGTCATAAGCATCAATTGGTGACTTGCATATTTGTTTTATTTTACTCGACAATTACAAAACGAAATTGAATCAAAGCATCCATCCAGGCGATATGTGCAGACGTGATATTCAATTCTTAGTCATTTAAGCATGGCTAATTTTCTCTAGCAGTCCTAAGTCAAAAGAAATCAGAAATAAAAAGAAATACAGAAATCTATCCAAACTTGTAAGTGCCATACGATCTCCCGCCGTACAAGGAGCTAAACTTTTTTACTTTCTTGACGTTTCGATATTTAGGTCAAAACTCTGACTTTGACCGTTTCTCCTGCAGCATTTTAATCATCTTGGCCTTGACTTGACCCACCATTTTTACGAGCGTGCTTTACACTTGCTTTTTGGAACCGGCAGACGTAGCCTCACTGGAGGCAACGTCTGCTTAATGATATCTACGCTGTCTACAATACGTTAGTACGTTTGGTGACGTCGGCATGAACAAATCAACGTTGATGATGAGTTGCGTTGCGTCAGTTCAAACCACAAATTTCTGTGAAATTGATGGAAACTTGGAAGACCTAATATAAAATTTAAATTGTGATACCGACATTAGAAAGAATCAGTGTTTCTTGGATGTATCCACTCGTTAAAAATTATTCAAAATATTATAAGTTGACGTTTTACTTCGCTGTCGCTGAGTTTCTTTTATCGATCAATATCGTCAGCTAGTGGGATATCATGGAAAATTGAATTAGTTAACATAAATTAAAACTACCTATCTACTATGATTATTATTCAATTTCGAGTCACGCTTAGGTGCAGATTCATACTTTCCTTATTAAGAAAACGGGAAGGGCGTAATTTTTGTGTGTCGAAGATAAATTTTCTCTGAAGGCCTTTCTTTGGAAGTAAGGCAGGATAGCGTGTTAGAGGAATAACTTATGAATATTACGGTAGACGAGTGACGGGCGATTGGCAGAGGCACGATAACGTCAAGTAAGCCAGACACGAGAGGGCAGTTATAAAGAATAGCATTTAATGTTACTCTATTTATGGTCTCGTGCTGAAGAATAGGTTTTGGCATTAAATATCCTTAGGTACTATCCTACGTTTTATTTTTCCAGAAAATGTAAGTTGTGCATAAAAACGGGCATTAGTCGGTAAACCGTTTCTCATAGGTACACACATTCTGTTTTAATGATTGGGTTCTCTCATCTCATATTATTGTACTCTGATAATTGAAGGCATGTCTGGGTAACGCGAGGTTTTGTTGCAGGGGCATCGGCGGCATCATGAGATCTGCATATACAGCCTACAACGATCTCCTGTCTAAACGGGGTGAGTTTCCAGCCAAAACTTATTGATATATTCATTCAAGTCTACCTTAAAATCACACATGTATACATACCGGAAATTTTCTTTCCGTGTGTACAGTATTATACCTGTTATATTGTCTGATTTTAAAGCAAAACCGGCAACTGCAATCAATCGTCAGCTATGGAAAGATCGGGTTCCAAAGGCAGGATCCCTTGAGAATCAAGTCGCGAAAAGTTCGAGAATCGGCAACATGCCATGGGCCTATTTCTTCAACGCCGACACTTCTATTCTAACGGCAACTGTGCTAACATAATCAAGGATCCTCCACAGGCTCAGCATGAGCACTTCGATGCTATTATATTTTAATCCGAACGCTCTCAACGAAACCTGTTCGTCATAGGGCTGCGTCAGCCTCTCAGCCTCTGAATAGTTTCAATGAATTTTTTTTGAATGATTATCCATCTATTAATTATTTTAGATGAGGTGCCTCTGGATAAACTGCTCAGTTTTCACGCAAAATTTACATTCATTTTTATACCGGTACATATCTATTTCTTGCGTTAATTTTAACAGCAATTGAGAATTATTTCCGACGGTGGACTTAAAATGTGCATTAACAAATGTCAATTACATCATTTTTATGTCGACGGCTTAGGAGGAAAGCGACACGCATTTATTATTGGTTATAGAAGGAATGCAGCGAGAGCTACAGCCTCATTCCTGAATCATCTTAGCAAAGCACAATGTAGCGGGGAAATTATCTGCTAATTGCAGGCGACTATCAACTATCGCTGCAGTTTCTATGGCCGGTACAGGAATGGCTTTTGTTGCCGCTTATCAGTAGATTGCGTTGACACGTGACTACCTTTGCCCAAACCTACGTCATAACTCACTAAATATTACAGATATATTGAGCGTTCAATTAACCTGTCAGAGGTAAATGAACATGGCTATGCAGAACATTCTTGTTAGCACTGGTATGTATTTTGAGGCACTGGTATGTATTCTCAGGCACATATATGTTTCTGAAGCGCGTACATGTATTCTGAGTCACGTATATTACATACGTAGTACTTGAATATACGTATGTACCTATTCGTAGGTGAACATACCCGAAGAATATACGTGTTAGCAAATGAAGGTACTGATGCCTATTTTTCCAATCACATACGAGTTGTTTGAGCCTCAACGCGGCTATCATTTTATTGCAATGTTTTCGCTTGTGTAGTATGGGTAGTATTTTATGCCGCACGGCCGCAGCTGTTACCTAACGACCCTGTTGTTGCAGACACCCGCATGGACGGCTGGTTCATGATGGAATCACCGCTGCCCACGACGGTCGTGTGTTTGGTGTATGTGTGGCTAGTCAAGGTTGCCGGCCCTCGCTTCATGAAGGACCGCCAGCCATATCAGCTTAAGAACCTTATTATCGTCTATAATTTCCTCCAAGTTCTTTTCTCCATGTTCATATTCTATGAGGTGAGTTACGTACGCATACATCATTTTTATATACTGATTTATTTATATACCTATATAATGATTTTGTGTAGAAATGATATTGTGTTTCTATGGTGATTTCAGTGTACGAACAGGTTGCGTCATTAGAATTTTATGTGTGAAGATAGTGCCCCGTTGATAGGGACTTGGGAATTATTGTGAAGTATACAATCTTGATCCACAACAATGTTGAAAGTTTGTGTTTACAGACTAAAATCGGATGGAATATTTTTGTGAACTTGTATTATATTACCTCGTAAATTTTTGGGTGGATTCGGCGCATTTTGTGCCTGTCAAGAAGACCAGTAGATTTGCATGGTTAGAATTGGTGCATTTCTGCAACTAAATGTAAAACCTGGAACGGAGCGGAGCTTGATCGTGGCCTTCGCAAATTAGTGCTTTATTGTTTCATGCCAAAGTAATTGATTCAAAATAATGAGTTTGTGGCAGCATCTGATGTCGCAGCTCCGCTCCTTCTAGAGGCTGGACGAGGACCTTTACCATCTTAGCAATACAAATAATTGACGAGGTGTTGCTATGATTGCAGTATGAATCATGGTCGTTATGATTAACAAACGAAGATAGAAAAGAATATTTCCAATGTAATTATTCTCAATTTGTAACTTGACCATTATTTGTCGGAACAGATTTTGCAATTCTCGAAACAATATTTTAATGTCGAGCTCGATTAGTTTTTGTAAAAAAATTAAATTGTAAGAACATGTATTATTCCACGACGGAAATTTGCTTAATTATTTATTTGATGTTTCAGGTTGATATATTTTTTTCATTTCCAGATGCCTTTGCCAGCGTTGCTGATAATCAACATCACATGAAGTAATTTCTATCTTACTATGAGATAATGTTTCTAATTCTAAGACATTATTACGCACTATATTCCGGCGTACAGCTTCTCTTTATTTCCGTGGCAGTACATGTGGATGTCCCAAAACATTTTTTTGTGCAATTGTGTTGGGCATAACACAATGTACATCTACATACTCCATGTTCCAGTTACACAATTGTATCCAATCGCAAATTATTTACATTCCAAATCGTTTACATTTGTTGTTTTGTTGCTAATTGTTTACATTTGTTTACATGCCAATTGTTCATAAATGTTATTTATTCTGTCCGAGTGGTGGTGGGGCGCTTCGTCGATGCTACTATAAGTAATACGATATCGCTAATTAATATATGTGTGGCTTAACGTTGCATTGCAGCTAACCGTGCCGCTGATGTTTTTAACAACAGATCGGTATGGGGGGCTGGTTCGTAGGATATGACCTGAGATGCCAGCCTGTCGACTATACTGACAATCCAACGAGCAGACGAGTGAGTCTCTCTTAACTACCCTACACTGACAAGCCCTCCTCCTCCTCCCCTCATTATTTACAAGCTTTCATCAGATCCGCTGTAATATCAGCCAGCAACTTGAGGGCCAACTTCACGATCCGTGTCATGGCTAAGCAGATCTTGTGTGACGATTTGCTCGTCATATTTGGAGGTGGTGGTTCGCTTTGTGCTAGTCAGTTGTTAACTGTAGTGGTTGCAGTTCATTAGTTACATGGTTGCATCCTTCCTTCCTCGTTATGGTGAGTGACGAGAGCCCATGAAAATTATTCTCAGATATCGTGCTGGTGATTTTGTTGGTTGTCTTTACAATATAAGTCGAGTTCCTCTTCATGGTGAAGCATCATCGAGGTATGTTTGTTATTGATATATATTTTTTCTGCGTAGATAACTTGGAAGTCTTTGCTTGAGACACCACTTTCGGATTTTCGTGGTAATGCTTTCCTTCTTAATGTTATCTGTCAATTTGATCCCATATTTATGCGTTTCGAAAATAATCATTTTCGTTGTTAGGTATGTGATTGTTCAAGCTCCAACATATTGCTAATTACATGACCCTAATTCTCAACGACCTATTCAATCTTGATTTACTGTATCTGTTTTGTTTCATATTTAATAGATTTAAAACACTCGTAACTTTTTTGTAATCTAGGCCGTAATATCTGCTTCCTGCCATTGCCATTTTTTGGCTCTCCAATCCGGAGTTTGCGGTAAATAATAAATCCGTTTTAACACATCCCTGCCCTTGAGTACTAACTCTCTTTTTTGTACCGTTAGTTGGGCTTTGGTCTGCAATGTATAGAACAAATTCACGTACAATTCGCTTCTGGGATTTGAATCTGCATGTATATGGTCCGTACACGCATCGACTCACGGTGAAGCGACTCGCACTAATGTCTTGCGACAAGATCCACGAACGACTTGAACCAATATTTGACCACTTACAGCAATACTTATACACGAGGCACGAACACGGTGTTTTTTAACAGGGTTGATACAGTAGACTTATCCTCGAAATGAGGACTACTCTACGGTGCATTGGTAACCTGCTTCTCCACGGTACACATTCACTAATGCTAGGGCAAGCCTTTTTTCCCAAATGGCAATGATGTATTTTATGGAGATATCCATCCTGCACATGTATACTATTTTGTACGTAATGTTCATGTTCGCTACCTGCTAAACGGCGTCTCCAGATCTGCTGCTGAATTACTGACCTCTCCAACTTCCCGGGTTTCTTGGATGATCTTTGCGCTCAAATAACACAGTGTGTCTGTCCCAACAGTTTGGTGCCAGCGGTTGGTTCAACGGGTACAGTTACAAGTGTCAGCCCGTTGATTATTCAAACTCGGAAAAAGCACATCGGGTACGTGTTATTCTCATGCACTTGCTGCACCGTGTTCAGTGTTCTCTCAAAGCATCTAATACGGCTAATTACAAATTGCCTTCTTTAGGCAGAGTTTCATTTGTTATTCGGAATCCTACCGAGATCTACCTGAGTGCATCAGTTCTCTTGCGACGCGCGTTGCCTTAGCGTTGTCTTTTATTTCAGAAAATCATTTTCTATTTTGGCGTTTGTGGTGTAATTCCTTCACTGTACAGCGTATGCAGTGTAATTTTTTTACTGTACAGCGTGTGTAGCCTAATTTTTTCCTTATGAGGGGTTAAGATCTAATTATTTCGCTGTACAAGCGCTTGTGGTGTAATTCTCTTCTTATTCTATCATGCATTGTGTGTACAATTCATTTATTATTCGAGCGCGTGTTGTGGGTTGGTACGCAGTGTGAAATTTTGTGGACTGGCACAGTTTGATCTCAGCACATGCGCCTTTCACCTGTTCATTATTGACTTGTTATAAAATGCTTTTACAGTTGTATTTTAGCTTGCTAATAAATTACTAATGTCATCTTCGGTGTAATCTATTATACTTTCGTCTCCTCTACTGACATTGCGCCATCTTTCGTACTTCTCAGTTTTATCTTGCTTAATGTAGCTCTATCACCGATCATTTAGAACTGCGGATGCAGGTAGAATTGATTTTAAAGACGACAGTATTAGCTGCTATGCCGAGAATCTCTGGCGGATCGGTTTCTCTGCAATTTAAAACAAAAAGAAAATGGACAGTTGACTTTTCGTTAGCTAAAATAAATTACCTACATCCATGAGGACAGCGCCCGAAAAAAAGGATATTCATGATGGCACTAACGTGTCACAACTACTAAGAAATGAGATCTAGGATACAGAAATGGCTGTGTATGTCTCTCAGAATTACCGAGAAGTCCGTGAGAATGGAGATAGTATTTAACCTCAGGAGCTCCTCCGCACTGTAAATGGTGCTCTTGCATTCAGGCTTATATGTGGAACATTTGTTTTGTTTTGGAATCTGCAATCATCCTGGGCCGACGCTTTGAAAGGACCTGGATGCGTACGTTCTACAGTCTGCCTCCGCCCCGCTACCATCAGAAAAGTATGCAACCGCATCGTGCATCAGCCCGCCCTGCTGAGGGCAGCTGAGTTCCACTTGCTCCGTGGGGGCCTGTCTAGCAGTGAACCAGCGTGGCCTGGGACTGCAACGTCTAGGGCATAAATAAAGAAGCCAATGAAAAGAGGATTGATAGAATTGCACGCGCAGCTTTTTTTTCTCTTCTGATGCTAGATTTATCGCATAAGCTTTATATTGGACTAATAGCGACTTGTAAAACTGACTTATTCTTCACATTTTATTTGATTTAAAAGTATAGAGATTCACATTTTCTCTTTTTCGAATAATACGAAAGCAGTGTAGTTTTCAGTGTATACTAACATTTATCTGTTGAGCTTTGAATGCCGAACAGCATAATGTAATTTTATCAGTAAAATTAGCTTGCTGTATCCTATGCAGTCCGTGGATATACGTAGTTACTGCTGCTCCAATCAAGCATTCTTGTTCAGCTTTTAAATTTTGTTCCCTAGCAACATTAGTACCAACGCTTATGCTGCAGCAGGCAGTAGAGTGTGTTGTGTAACTAACAGTAGTGCCAATATTGTAGCTGTTAACCGCATTGTATTATCTCCATTAGTACAAATGCTTTAGCTGTGACTTCTCGTACTTCTCGCAGCCTGCCGCGATGTTTCCTGCATTACCGTAAGTAAATTAGATTCATTGTAGCGAAGTGATGAAGATTTAAATTCATCTTTCATCTTTGGATGCATGGTAAGTGAAATCGAAATGGATTCCATTCTCTTTGGTATAGAGTTTCATGTTGGTCGACATTTGTCTCGCACATATTGCCCTGTTCTTCGTCGCTGACTTGCACTTTTTTCCGTCTGGCTCGAATCCTTTGCGGTCTCTCTTGCCTCACTCCTTCCATCCTTATTTGTGCTCACACGGTGAGTTTAAATTTGTATGTAAATGTAAGAAAATTTTTACTAAGAGGTGAAGTTCAATTTATGTTCATGAATCACACGGGACAAACCCAGTTTCCGATGATGAACATTAACTGAGCGGTTTTATATTTTACTTGTCCATCATGACGAGCGTTTAAAATAATGACTGATATTTTGTATCAATGCGACGGCCAAGCAGCTGTGCTGATTGCATTGAGTTAGATTTATTTAATTAACGATTATACTACTGCGAGTCACTTTTTCAAATTGTAATTAGAAATTAGTTTATGTTTTTAGAAGATTTCTTGAACGCTGTTTAATTTCCATAGTTTCTGTAAATAACTTGGACTGTACAGTAAAAGTGTACATAGTTATTGCTGATCTTTTGTTCTATTTTTGTTCCTGATGTCGGTTTGGTGCGGTATCACTTCTCATTACTCCTGTGTTCTTGCAAACTAGTGATGTCGAGTTGTGCAGAGTAAAGTAAAATCATTTATTAAAGCCTGAATTCAGTGACCGAATATATATTTTTTGAGCCTTGTGGTGGTTTTTTTTGACTTGAAAAAAATTCAAATTATGTTCTTTGAATACACATTAGGCGGGTCATCTTCTATTTTATATCTTTTTTATTCATAAATATAACACGGTTCATTTTTAGTAGAAGGAAGCGAAATTTGGTTGACGAACCAGTGACAATTTTTACGCGTTTTTATTTATGGATTAATTAATTTTCGTCTATATGTGCAGATGCTCTATGCCTGCTACTACTACTATATCTCGAAATTCACTGAATTCATTGACACGGTGAGTGCACTGGAAGATTGGTGAGTTTTTATTTCTGCGTTTAGCGGCTGTTATGCAGATACAAATTTATTGTTGCCTGTTGAATCTTGGTGGTTGGTTCCTTGGTTGTTTTTTTGAGTTATTAATGCTATTAATTTCTCTTGTTCACGATCACGACATAGTCTACCAGAAGACGCCCATTTTTCTGCTTTGCCAATTTCAATTTCATTAATGTTTCTATCTTTGTTATAGAAATTTCCTATGCCAAAATGGCTGTCTTTCTTGATACGCGTCGAGAAATTAAATGTCAATTCGCAGGCTATAATAAAACACATATATCCTCACTCATTAACTCCTCAATTATTAAAGAGTAATTTTTTGTCAGTTTTTCTTCGTGCTGCGTAAGAAGAACGAGCACATCTCCCTGCTGCACGTGCTGCACCACGGCATCATGCCCCTCAGTACGTGGGTAGGCCTTAGATACACTCCTGGTGGCCACAGCACCTTCTTTGGCTTCCTTAATACCTTCGTTCATATCGTCATGTATTTCTACTACATGGTGGCCGCCATGGGACCCAAGTACCAGAAGTACATCTGGTGGAAGAAATACGTCACCACCCTCCAGATTGTGCAGTTTGTGGCTATCTTCATTCACGCTTTCCAGGTCTGTATCAAAGTACTTATATTATGAGTCTGCTTATATCGCAAGTTCACAAGGTATTTAAAAGCACAGAAAACGAAAAACAAATTCACCATATCGATATTGAAAACGTTTTCAATATCGATATGGTGAATTTGCTTGGCGTTTTCTTTGCTTTCAATTCCTTGTGGTCTGTATTATTGTTAAAATTCAAGTTTATTGAAGTTGTTGAGCGGAGTATGTTCTGCAATACAATAATTTAAGATAAAGAACTATCATTGTTATACGCAAATAAATTTGATTTATTCGTATTTAATTTTTAATGAACGCACTAAAATATTTTGTATCAGACGCACTTGACTTGCCCTAATCTCACGCATGTAAGCTAAAAAAAAATATAACTCAGTACTCACTGCAGTGAGTGACAGAGCGCGCATTTTCTCGTCGACGAAAACATGAAGTCACGGACGGACAGACGGACGGACATGGCGAGCACAATAGTGCATTTTTTTCATTAATGAGAAAATGCGCTAAAAAGAACCGCTTTCGCTTTCAGTTGGTGTTCCGCGAATGCGATTACCCGAAGGCGTTCATGTGGTGGATCGGAGGCCATGCTTGCATGTTCTTCTTCCTCTTCGCTGACTTCTACGTCAAGGCTTACCGACAACACATGGCCAAGAAGACGTCAGCTGCCAGCTTCGTCAAGAAGATCGTACCTTGCTTCTTGCCAGCTGTCGACGAGGTTCGTGTTTGTCCTCTATCGATGTCTTTATCGGTTTAGTGTCTCTAACATTTTCACTTTCATTCAGTTTAGCTTTACAGGGTTTGCGTAGATTACACATGAAATCGAATGTATATTTCAGAAGATCACACAAGCATCATATGTATACATGCATGGATTACATATGATTGCATAAGTAATCCACGCCTACTAAACTCGACAGTAACAAAACCGAACGAAAAGGTGACCAATTTAGTCATTTTTTTTGCATGCAACCACTGCTGGTGTTTACATGTCGTTATAATCAAACAAGTTGTCACTAAATACTGATAAATATGTCTTTCATAGACATATTGATAAATATGTCTTAATTTTTGTCAGTTTTGACTCAATAACTCGTCCTCAACTCCATCAATTTAATCTTTAGTACAAATTGATTTCAGAAGCCTACTGAAAGTCGATTTATTTCTTTCAAGGTATTGTACCCTCTGATGCAGGATTATTGCATCTACGGCTAGGAAACTGGACTGATATATTGGCAGTTGATGGGCTCTCTTAATACTTAAGCCGGCATGTGTTGGCTTGTGGAAAATTTCTCCTCTGCAACCCACGAATGTTGTAATCTTGAAGCGAATTGATGTCAAAATGTATAGGAATATTTCATTTTGGTTCATTTTAATAATTTATATATTTTTTGGTGTTTCTATAATTCACCCCAAGTTGAATTGAATGGCTTGTGAGGAATTTCTTCTCTGCAAACCACGAATGTTGTAATCTTGAAACGAACTGATATTAAAATGTACAGGAATATTTTATTTTGGTTCATTTTTATGTTTTATTAGTGTTTTTTTTAATTCACCGCAAGTTGAATTTCAACTAATGGAAATCACGCGTTTGTAAGTGACAAGGAATATTCAAGCTATTTTTCTCTTTAATGCCCTTATTATAGTCTAAAATTTGAGCCAGTATTACACTCAACATATCTAATAGGTACTTGATTTTCTTCTGATTTGTTATTTTGATTCACCAACAGAGTAACCAATTGTCGAATGGCAAGATGAACGGCCATGCCAACGGACACGCCAACGGTTATGCCAACGGTCACGCAAACGGTCACGCCAACGGACATGCCAACGGTCACGCCAACGGACATGCCAACGGTCACGTCATAGAATCCGCCTCTTCAGAAACCGCGGACGTGCGCTCTCGGAAGCCCCGCAAGGAGCAGTGATCATATGGCTTTTTTGTTAAAAGCATTTAGGGTGTGATTGTGTTGGATGAAAATGCGGCTAATAATCGTGGCATCGTCAAGCTAATTTATTAACATTTAAGATTTGAAGCCTTTTGTGAGTGCGGGTATGCACTGCAGTGCCCCGATCAATTGAGTGCACCTTACGTTCTGTGTTATAATGCTGATCAAGTTTGTAGCTATTGTTTCCATTGTAATTATGTGTGGTTTAATTTAGCGCATATCCTCAGTTTAATTGATCATATTTCATTCTCTTGCCGCCAGTGAGTTTCATTGTAGTGAGAACTTCGTCAGGAAACTTGTTACAATTTTTAAGTTACTTTGTCTTCAGTTTCAGTGTTGATCATCCATTCACTCGTGAATATTTCATCGCTGAAATTATTCAATGAGAAAAAATTACAAAAAACACAAACAAAGCGTCAGTGTTAGGGAGGTGTACAAACTCTTTATTTTCTAGTTAATTTTAGGTGACTTGTATGGTTTTGTGTAGTAATTCAAGAGACTTTAACGTTAATTAATTATTCCACAGTTCTTGACACGCAGTTTTCCAGCATTCCGTTTGAACTGTGGAGCATGCCGTGTTGCCCGTTTGATTTACGTGCTATAATATCACGATTTTCCTTGCATAGCTCAAGGCTAATTCACTCAATTCACACTGCCACTATTGCTAGAGTAACACAAGTCTTGTGGTGTAGTATTGCAGGTTATTTTCCTATTCTCGGAAGTAACCGACTTGACATGAATAAATTCCGTGTGAGTTGAGTTGTGAGGTCGTGTGACGTTATCTTGAGAACGTTTTGTGATAATAACATTGCTTAACTAGCCACCGCTTGTCCATAGCCACCGCTTAACTAAAATGGACTAGCGGTGGCTAGAGCAAATCCCTACTCCTTACCGAAGCCTTCTGAGTTAATCTGTCATACTAAAGTAGTGCTCTTTACTAACAATTTTATCTTGATGTGCCAACGAATCGAGAGTGTACTCCAACCACCTCCCTCTCGGAGCTTTCCTTTAGCCAATCTCGTAGGATGATTCTTCAGAATGGTTTAAGAGATTCTATATGCCAGGAAAATTTATATGCTTTTAAACAGCGCTTTAGGATTCTTACCTATCGAAACCGGTGAAAAGTAAAACTACCCATTACCCAATTATAATTAAATGTTGATAAATACGTGATAATTTTGTTAACAAATTTCTCTTGTTTCTATCATCTACACGTGTTCTTTCTTAACTCCTTAATTTCTGTTTGATTATGTAACCTAGAAACGTATTCCCCTTAAAAAATGATGTATTGATGATGAGTATTACTGTGTCCCAAAAAAGATGCTCATTCGACACTAAAACTGTCGTTCGCGACAGCAATCTTGACGTTTACAATGACCACCTGATTGTTTTTCAGATTTTTAATGCGTATCTGAGTTCAAAATACAATTAGAAGTGCATGGCAAACCTTGTAAATTTTGTGTACGTTACATGCCTTTCGTATTAAATATATAATCTATCTGTATCTTTACTGCTGCTTGAAAAAGTCTTCGTTATAGCCTTGTGAAAAGGACAAATGTAGGTGGCCCAGTGATAATCGTGATCTTATACTCACTACAATAATCACGAACTGCTTTCACTTGCGACTATAAAAAGTGTTAAGACTTGTTTATTTTTCTCCAATCGGTGAAGTTGTGCCGTCATTTCCTTGATCGAATTTTTGACTATAACTAAAATTTCGCATTCCTTAATGAACTCCATTTCGATCAGTGAGGTTGCGTAAATTTTGTCTTCTGTTCTGTTGATTTTAATTCTAATTTTCGGCGTTTATTAGCTGCGTATTTTTTCCCAAACGTGTCTGATACTTCGTAGCTTATGTGTATTTTCCCGAGCAATTAGTGTGTTTTGACTCCATAACTCGTCCTCCGCGGACCTACTCTACAGCGGCGTCAGGAGTGCGGAAAAGACTCAGACTTACTCTTGCCGTGAATTCCGTCTCCCACGGCATTATGCCCGAGTGGAAAGTATTTTCGAATTGCTCTTAATATTCTTCTAACACGTCTAAAGATTTCCAATATAGATAATAACGAAGATATAGCTATACCTATGTTACGTTATATTATATGAACCTGCTGAAGTGTATTTACTCTATAACATTCAAGTATTCTTTCCCATTCCTTACTGCTTCGATTCCAAATGCCTTACAGAACGAAAAATTTCGCTAATTTTTCTCGATCTTCATGTATTTACTTTCCTTCATCTAGATTCAAATTTGAGTGAAATGATACGACGAAACGTTGAACTTTGGCAGACGCTCTATCCAGGTCGCTGTTTCTGTCAGGAAGTTGTTTGACTCGTTTAACGCGACACGTAGTAATGATGCTCTTTGAGGCAATATACTTTACGGCATGTACATACATCAGGACTTGTGAGCCAGGCAGTCATGCTACATTGTTTACTTTTGAAGAATGGATGTATATCTCGACTGTTGCTCCGCTGTTGCAGTGACTTTTAAGTTGTTTGAATAATTACTCGGGTTGTGTTGATGTTCTCTTATTAATATAAGTTCACGCCATGTTTCTCCAGGAATTTTCGTAAGAGCACACTGATATTTTTCGTAAAATTAGAACTCAGGGTTACTGGGAATCATTTCTAGCATATATTTATAAGTTTCTGCCGAGCAAGATTATTAACCATTGCACATAATTTCATGATACCTTCTTGCTCTTTACATTTTATTTCTCTGAAAATATTCTACATTTTTCTCTTATGTATTTACTACAACACTAAACTATTTTCACATAAACGGTATTACATCATTATCGTGCTTCTTTCGGCGGCTCGAATGCTATTCACCAGTAATCTACAATGAGAATAAGGACACGAGAAATTTAGGATATTATTATCTTATGTTGGTGAATTCCGAAACAAACTTGGTGACAATGTCATGAACGAGGAGTGTTTGCGCTCCCTCTGCATAATTAAATGTTACTGCCGATACTCAAATTTGGAAGCTGTAACAATGGATAGATGTAGCATTCAATAGAAGAATTTTGTAACGTGGTGAGGACGGTTGATGCTGGAAGGCTGTCAGCCTAGAAACGTTAGCATGCAATGAGCTATTGTGTAACTGGCATTATCAGCTACGTTGTCCAGCTTCATCAGCGATTTCGGTGACCATAATACTACAGTCACGAAACTATGTTAACGAAGCCTCTTTCCCATCTCGCTGAGTGTATTGATTTTGACATTTGTGTCGAGTTACAGTTTAGGTTACTTGGCATCCATTGCTTTTCGAGGAACGTGTAACAGATATCCCATCTGTCAAGAACCAATCGTAACTTGTGCTTCGTCATAGATGGACATTGTTGTAAAACATTGCGGCTCCTAGTGCCATCTATTGAAACGTGTTTACCGTGTATTATATGTGCGCAGTTATGTTCCAGTCGCATACGGACATGAACTTGCGTGCGCTGCCATGCTTCCTGAGCTCAAGATGTCGGCATCTGAGAAATTTCTATTCACGTTCATGTGTGACTATATTTTCTGCCTAACGGAGAGCGTCTTCATTTTCCCTTCTTGCGTCTATTACTGATAAATTTGTTTCCTACCGACTATGGCAGCGTTTAGCTATTCAATGCCCAGTATTTGCAGTTGAACAAAAATGTTATCCTACAACTAAATTATTTTCCTTGGCAGCGTACGTTATTTGAACGCATTGTAAGCGCCACATTAAATTTATATATGGAAGACACATTTGCTGAATTAGACGTATCAAAATTATGTTGTATTAATTAATAATTAGACATGTATCTAATTATTATACAAGTTACATAGAATAATGAAATAGGTTTCTAATATTTCATTACCAAACACGATTGGACAAATGTATGTTTTCCGGTATTTGTGAAGACTGTTCTAGACTTGCAATGCAGACAATGTTTATTATATTAAAATGTATAGTGTCTATGCTCCAAAAATTTAATTATTATCAAAGCAGATGATTGTTAAAAACCTCTCTAGTTTAGTATCCCACAAATGTTCATAGTTACTCGTGCAGCTTTCATCCACTCAAGCGTGACCGCTTGCAGATAAAAAGTATCGCTAGCGCATCTCCCAATGCGTGACGGCGATCTATTTGAACCCATGTTGATATTTTATACCTTTGTGCATAATAAACTCGTTAAGGACACTTTGACCACGTTGTATTGTCTTTTTCCTAGATATAGTAATTGTGGTAGTACTTATAAATATTTTACAGACATGAACATTTCAATCATGATTTCGTGACCGAGACTTGCTCAATATTAATTTCAGAGTAGGATTATAACGCCCGATTCTTCATGGGAACATTACGTCACTAACCAGCACAAAAATTTTCCAATAACGTACATACCTATTCGACTTTTAAAAGGCTAAGGATGTTTAAAAAAATTTCTGGATTTGAAGAATTCAATTATTCATGTAAACAAAATATCGTATTTTTTGCATCTTAACTTTACGTTACTATATTCTCTACTTTTCAAACTGAGGTAGAGAATTGTGGTACTTATGACAGTCATAATTGATAGCTCTACTAATTTAAAGAAGTGACGAAAACAATAAGTTGTTACGACTAAAAATACGCATGTAAAGTCATATCTTGAGCTTTTCTCAGTTAGTGCTCCTACAGTTCGTCATGTTGCCCTTTTTCCTTGTCTTGCTTATACCTGAAGAGCTCAATCTTGTGCTGCTGCAGGAATATTTCCTCTGCCGCCCTCACGCGGTCAGGAGGCAAGAAAACGTCCGTCGTGAGCTCGCCGTCAGACGTCACTACGATGCATTCCAAACCTTCGTCCGTCACAGTCGGCCACGATGTTTTCGGCTCTCTGTCAAAAAGAGACGTGATGGAAAACGTTTATCATACAAACTAATAGAATGTTTCCTATCATAAGCCGGTCCCGCCATCATTCTGTTATCATGCTTATTAAAGAGACCTAAAGCACTTTGTGATGTCAAACGTATATTACACTAACATACAAAAGGTTTCATAACACCAGACTTCAGAAAAGGTATGTAGTTTCCCTGCTCGTTTTATATCTGGCAAGTCTGGTGTAGTTTCTGGCAAGTCTGGTGTAGTTGTAAACCTCGAAGATGCTTCCTCGATCCTCATACCAGTTTGATAGTCAGACGTCAAGACGGCATGTTACTTCTCTTCAGAGCGAACCGTCACAAGCGGCATTATAATACCACATCTGCTTGCCAAATTACGAAAAATGAGCGAGATTATGACCGAATAGCGATGTCTTTTTTGCCCTTATGGAGAAAATTTCAACCAACGTAGCCTGCCTAAGACTGTATTTTTTCCACGAGCAGAAAGTGAGTAACTATTTCAATAATATAACCCATTAAATGTTCCGAGTGCATTATGGTAATGTAATACAAGTATGGTATTGGTAATGTTATCTCACCGTGCATTCACAAAATCGTCGACCACGTCTAGCATAATTTGGCTGACACGTTCCTGTTTTTCTGAAGTGAAAGGCTCGTGATGGTCGGGCAAGAAGTAGCTGAGCTCGTCGCAGTGGCCGGCACCTGGCGGGACCGGTGGTGCCAGGGCAGGGTCAGGGTGGCGCTTGTAGAACGAGTGTGGCCCGTCCTCGAAGTCAAACCTGTTATCCAAAATGAGAATTATTTAATGAATAAAAAGCAGTATGAAACGCAGTTTACTTTATTTATAAATATTTTCACGCAGACCATGAAATAAAAGATTTGGTAGGATGAGAAGCCACCCGTCCTCGAAGTCAAACCTGTCGTCCAAAATGAGAATTATTCCATGAATAAAAAGCCATATGAAACGCAGTTCACTTTATTTATAAATTATTTTTACACATAACACGAAATAAAAGATTGGTAGGATGAGAAGCCACCCTTCCTCAAAGTCAAACTTGTCATCCCAAACGAGAATTATTGCGTGAAAATAAGTCCTAAGAGGCAAATGTAACTTAAATTTATGATATATTTTCAGATGAGAATAGACGGAATCATGACGGAATTTTACTGCATTCAATATGCTACGGTGCTTCTAGAAATTTTTCAACAAAATTACAAATTTGCCAAACAAATACATTTTCGGCGAATCAATGACTTAAAACTCTCGCAACTCACCGTAATATTCTTGTGGACACTTTGTCATTCAGGTAGCGAGCTGTGTGCAGGAGGCCCGTGTTGTAGAGCGCATCTCCCAACAACTAAAAAAATATGTAGAATGTTACGAAAATTAGTGGAAAGTTGAAAAATTAATAAATGTAGTACTACTGGTCCAGATGTTTATAAGAAAGAGGATCATATTGACGCGAAATTCAAGGACTGGCCATCGTCAACAAGTTGGACGTTATTGATCATTAAAAAATTGAGCAATTTTAAATTATTCTTCACAAATGACAGGGAAAGGTTTCAAATGCCCAGCTCGATAATCAGTAAAAATGTTAATTTGTCTATCAATAATAATCAGTAATTTCGTCTACGCACTGAAAATTGATTAAATTTAGTAGTAGGTACGAAAATTGCATGGAGAATAAATGCTATGATTTCATGATCATACATACTTATGGCTTGATTATATCCGATTGTGGAAGCGCTTTCACCGAAAAAGGTTTACAATTGTCATTCTGCATAACTGAATACAAATAAACAATATCCTGCTAATTCTTTCTGTAAATAAGTTATCACAATTCAGAATAATTTGTGTAGTCTTTCCGGTAGTCTTTCAAGAGCCTCTTCATGCTGGTCAACAGCGAAGATAATCTTACTCCAACTGTAATTGAAATTCAGTTGTACAGCAATTGATGGGCCATTTGGATCACCCGACAGGGCAGGAGTATCTATCGGGGAGTTACTCCCCTGAGCAATAGCAGGTATTGGGGAGTTACCCACCTGAGCAATAGCAGGTATTGGGGAGTTACCCACCTGAGCAATAGCAGGTATTGGGGAGTTACCCACCCTGTCTCTTATACACATCTAGATGTGTATAAGAGACAGGTATTGGGGAGTTACCCACCTGAGCAATAGCAGGTATTGGGGAGTTACCCACCTGAGCAATAGCAGGTATTGGGGAGTTACCCACCTGAGCAATAGCCGGTATTCTCTCGACGTTCGGTCGCCCTTTTCGGTCTTTAAAGTATTGTCGCCAGATCAAGGCCTCTGCCTCACTGCCTTCTTCCACGTCTAAAATGAAACAAAAAACATTTCGCAGAGGAATGTCGATGTAGAAATATATAAAATACATAACCTGCTCTATGATTATTCCGATTTAAAATAGTATATAGTTCTTTTATAAAATTTTTAAATAGCTTGAATTCAGATCAGAGCTGAAAAAATGAAAACCTGACTAATAGGTCCAGCCTACAGATGCTCCGTAAACAAACGATTGAATAATGAATTATTTAAAAAAATTATTTCAAGTAGACGAGATACTAAAGTTGTGTTAATGGAACATTTACTCACGGAGTTCTTTGATGATGATGGACATGATCTCGTCAGTTGAGAGTTCTTTTTCCTCTTCTATGTATTGCATCCACTCGTACAGGGCTGAAAAACATGGCAAAAATAAGGCAAACCGCTTGAGTTACATATGCCGGTAATGATAAATGTAATAAATTAGGGATAAAACACCCAAGATATCCCATTAATAAAAAAGGAAACGCCAATTTACTGCAAGAATGGGCTTGATTTTTAGAAAGAATTAATAGAAATACAAGGCATCTCGTAAATTTTGGCTGTCTACATACGAGAAAATGTATCATAACGGTAATAAGAATAATAGCGGTTTAAGCGTTTAGTAGGCCGTAGGCCTGTCGCCGATTCTTAACATCGCAGAACATTCACAGTATTTTGCGGTCTCGAACTCGCAACTCACTGCTACAATTCCTATCCAGGCCTATTCTTTAATGCCGAAGATACTATACTATACTATACTAATTCTGCTGTGCTTAACCGCCCGGCCTCCTCGCCGATTCTGACCAGAAACTGGCGCACAGAGCTGGGATCGAAACCGCGCCTCTCTGCGCCAATCTTGGTACTCTGAACTGTAACCACTGGGCCATCCTGCGACTATATCGCTACCCAAAAACATAAAAAATTCGTACCTCGGAATTTGATATCATAGAAAATTCCACAAAAATTCACCAGATGTTTATCTAAAACTTTAAATACGCAAACGAATCGTGTTAAGAAACGTGCACTTGGTACTTACACATGTCCAAGATGTAGTTTCCAACATCTTTTGACGTTACTAAAAGAACTGGCACCTGCTCATAGGTAAAATTATAACATACTTTTATACAGTTTGATACAGTGATATGATAATATGATAGATACAGTGATATGATATAACAATGCCATCATGACGACAATCAGATCAATATTTCACATGTTATATAGAGAATACAATAGATAGACGTTGAAACGATTGAAAATTAAGAGAGATTCAATTCGATAGATCTAATTAAAATTAATTGATCGAGTCAAATCAAAATATATTCTACATAGCATTGAATAATAATGATATTGTGTTGACCTCTGATCAATTCGATGTATCCAATTAAAATTAATTGATTAAATCAAATCAAATTATATTCTAACATACCTGTATATGGCTAATGAATAATGAAGTAGTGCTAACTTCTGATCAATTCGATGTATCTAATTATTTTTAATTGATTGAATCAAATCAAATTATATTCTAAGATATGGCTAATGAATAATGAAATAGTGCTAACCTCTGATCAATTCGAAGTATCCAATTAAAATTAATTGATTTAATCAAATCAAATTATATTCTAACATATGGCTAATTAATAATGAAATAGTTCTAACCTCTGAGAAGCGACCCTCCATGAAGGAGATGACCGGAGGCTCTAATACGAACTGCGACTCATTCCTCTTGACGACCTGCGCCTGCACGGCCGGGGCGAAGTTGCCGTTCCCGACGAATAAGTCACGGGCCTGGAGCATAGTGTGTGGTAATGAGGTGGATGAAAGACGAATTAAATTAGTTATGTATTCAAACATTCGGACACACGTAGAATTATTACATAGTGCCGCAGCTATTGCATACCACAAGGCTAGCCACACCACGCCAAAAGGATGGCCACATCACGCCAAAAGGAAGGCCACAGCACGCCAAGAGGATGGCCACAGCATGCCAAAAGGATGACCACAGCACGCCACAAAGATCGCCAACAGTATGCCACAACATGCCACAAGGATCGCCACAGCACGCCACAAAGATCGCCAACAGTATGCCACAACATGCCGCAAGGATCGCCACAGCACGCCACAAAGATCGCCAACAGTATGCCACAACACGCCACAAGGATCGCCACAGCACGCCACAAAGATCGCCAACAGTATGCCACAACATGCCACAAAGATCGCCAACAGTATGCCACAACATGCCACAAGGATCGCCACCAGCACGCCACAAGTCAAGCCACCGCCCCACCTCCAGCATGAACATCTGAGCCTCGAGGAGCGTCTCCACAGGCTGACTCCTGATGCAGTTCATCATGGCTGCCGTGTCCGCTCGCGCACATCTGTCAGTTATCACTAAAAATTATTTGAAAAGCAAAAGATGAGGCTGTACATTATTTTTCATTTTCTGGATTTTGAAATCGAAGCAGAATTTTTTCGTCTTGCATATATAGTGATAAAAAAGTTGCAGTTACACTTGCTAAAAATTTTAATACTTGAAAAACGAGGGTACACGCGTGTTTTTCCTTTCTAGATCATGAAATCGATATAGAAAAAGTTTTTTCATGTAACTATAATGATGAAAAATTGCAGTCCCACTAATTGTTTAAAAAGCAAAATGTGAAATAGCAAACGTGTTTTCTTTTGTTTCAACTTCTGACATCTGAAATAGAAGAAAGTTTTTGCTGCGTAAAAAATTTGACGAGTTAAAAATTTTCGATGAGTAAACAAAGTAAACGAAAAACACACCAAATAACATGGTGTTATTTGCGCAGGCAAATTAGTACCTATGTGGAAAACAAGATAGGTTTAAATAGATATTTTTCCATTTTGCGTTTGAAATACTGAATTTCATTGAAAAATATTCGAAATATTGTATTTGCATTTTGAAAATACGGTGGATTTGAAGAAGCAAATTTCTTGCCACTTCAGCAGCCAAGTCAGAAAGACAGTGGATAAGAAAATACTGTATCAGTAACGCTTTAAAAATACTGTGCAATTTTAGTAAAGTCTTGAAGATACAAGGTACCTAAAAAATATAACTCAGTACTCACTGCAGTGAGTGACAGAGAGCGCATTTTCTCGTCTACGAAAACTTGAAGTCATGGACGGACAGACGGACGGACATGGCGAGCACAATAGTGCATTTTTTCCACAAATGAGGAAATTCGCTAAAAAGCATAAAGATTTATAACGTTGGTTTGAATAATACGAACTTAAGGTAGTTGGTGAGGACCAGCATGGACCGGTGGCTGTTGTGGCTCGTCGCCCACGGAGCCAAGGCCGTCCCCGACACGGCCAGCACGCGGTGGAATAGCCCTGGCAACGGTGAGAATTTTCCATAATAATAATTCAAAATTTCAGAAATGATGTTTACTGAAATTTATCTTTGATTTAGTATTTTGTGCATGCAATTAATTGTGAAATTGTATGTACATTATCATGGATAAAGGTGAGATAGCCATAAATTTTGAGTCTTTATATACTTGCTAGTATCGGAAGACATGTCAGTCGGATATTAGCCCTGATAAAGAGAAAATTTCCCTCCGAAGGCAGACAGAAACATAAAAAAATATAACTCAGTACTCACTGCAGTGAGTGACAGAGAGCGCATTTTCTCGTCGACGAAAACGTGACGTCAGGGACGGACAGACAGACAGACAGACGGACGGACATAACGAGCACAATAGCGCCTTTTTTCCATAAATGAGAAAATGCGCTAAAAAAAGACTTTCTTCAACGCAATAAAGTCCAACTCAGAAAAATAAGTAACTAGACTGGAGAGATCTGTTTGCGGGTAAACAGGATATTTTTTTCTAAACACGTTCATGCGAACCACTAAACCTGAATACTAAACCACCGTGAAATATACGAAATGCTATACGAAATACTGAATACTAAACCACCTGAATACTAAACCACCTGAATACTAAACCACCTGAATACTAAACCACCTGAATACTAAACCACCTGAATACTAAACCACGGGAGGCAAGTTACCTTCCGAGAGCGGAGAGATCATGTGGTAGAGCGCGGACGCTCCCCCAGCGCAGTCCCCGGCGAGGGTGACGCGTGAAGGGTCGCCGCCAAACTGGCCGATGTTTTGCTGCACCCACTGCAGCGCCGCCACCTGGTCCAGTAAGCCGTAATTGCCGGGAGCTTCACTGAACGCATAGTAAAATCCTGAAAAACATGATCAATTTATAAAAAAATGAAATGAATTTTTCCAAAGCATTCACTGAAGATTCGACGGGATACTTGAATCAAAGAAAACATTTATATATACCACCTGATACGTTTAATTTAGACGTTTTAATGTAGATGGGAAGAAGTTTATTCGAAGAATTTTAATTTCCGAACCCAATTTGGCAAAATTTGTTAAAAGTTCAATATCAAGAAGCGACTTAGAACAATGACACGTGTGTTTTATTATGAATAATATTTTTGTGCATCACCAACCGTAAATGCCCAGTCTATACTGCGGAACAACGAGCACCACATCGCGGTCCATCAGCAGCGCGGGGTCGTAGGCATTCGCCCCTGACACAATGAACGCCCCGCCAGGGAGCCACACCAGCACCGGCAGCTTTGCTGACGCTTCCCCTAACAACTATGATAAAGATTATTATCAAAATTTAATTAATGAATGCATCCATCAATGCCAGACAATTTCCAGCAACACTTGGCTCGCCGATTTTCAATAGAACAAATGAAATGCAGGTTAAAGATACGTTTTGTGATGATTGAAATAATAAAAAAATTTTTGCAAAAATTTCAAAATGTTATTTAAAATTTCTCATCAAATTTTGTTCATTACAGAGATTGTTTCTAGTAAAGGCGAGCGATAAAACTATGGAGCGACTCCCGCATCATAAGCGGTAAATCTTACCCAAAATATTGTACAAATTATATTATATTATTATATACCCATTATACCCAAAATATTGTACAAATTATACCATTATTTTATAATTATACTGAGCATTATTGGCTCGACAACGGCAAGCGGTAAGCCTTAAATAATTTAACCTGAACAATCTGGGGTTAATTCATTGTTATGATAAATGGGGATTAATTACTAAATATTCATTTTTAGCGAAACGAAGTATCAGGTTTCAGCTGAACTCGTTCAGAATTGTTCTCAAATATGAATGTTTTAATATGATTCATTCTTTTGGTACAATATATACGCGAATAATTTATTGGCCACACTGCGCCTTAACACTGAGTATTATTTTTCAGCTTAACTCAATCCGAATGTTCATCAAAAATAAATCTTTAAATGGTTTCAAGCAGTTGAAAAAATTATAGTGACGTATGATTAACTGGTCGTCCCCTGCACATTACTTAATATAGAATAGCACTTTAAATATCATGTGCTATTCTATATTTAAATAAATATAGAATATCACATTACACACCTGGGGAGTGTACACTGAGAGGTGTAGACAGTCCTCCTCCCCCTGCACCACCCCCATCCCGCCCTGTGCACAGACTGGGCCTGCGTCCTGACAGTTCAGGGTCCCAGTCCACGGCACCACCGGCTTCGGTGGCTGAACATTATGGGATCATTTTTTAAAAATTTTTAGAAAACTATTAGTTTCGTGTACAGAAAGGTCACGGCATTAAAGCTTCTGGTGGTCACAAGCCGAAATGTGAAAGTAATCTGTTAGCGAGAATTAAAGCTATCAGACGAGAAAGAAAATGTAATATATTAGAAAAAATTATAAGCAAGTTAGAGAGAATTCAGACTGGACACACTCTTGACAAACAACAATGGATGTTTTTTATACATTAATCGAGAAACGAGTCCAAATAACAGAAAGCGTAGTTACATCTTTCCAAAAATCTCTCATCTCACCTCAAACCTAAATTCTCCTTCAACGAAGCCAGCGTAGGGCACGTGTCTGAAAGCAAAGAAGCGCCTGCCCCCCGCGCTGGTCTCCTCAGCGCCCAGCACGGCGCCCCCCGTCACATCCACGACGACGCCTTCGCCGCCCGCGGCCCAGAGCAGCGCCAGCGCCGCTACTATCATCCGCATGGCCGGACTTATTGAGGAGCCTTTGATGTTATAGCAAGTGTAGCGACGACCTTCAGCACATTTAGCCTGGAGGAATACGGGAATTCTAATACGTTGATTATGAATTAAGTGGTACATATGCGTACCACGAAATGTATTTCTCCAGGACGTAGCGGTACATAATTCAGGTTGCCTAAAATCGGCCAAATCCGAGAACAAAAAAGGCCAAAAAATGCCGATAACTCAATATATACTAGTTTATTTGTAGGTTCCGCTATAAAAATTACATTTATTTTCTTTTAGCAGTATTTAAAATTTAATTCGGAAGTACCACTATCATAAATTTTAGCCGGCCAACGCAATTGAGAAATACTAAATCACGGAATTTGTCCAGAAAAAATGACCGTCTGGCAACCCTGCTTAAAAACAGTACAAACAATGAAACAATAGTACAAGATGTAGCAATCGTAGTCAACGTGATGAAGAAAATAAAAAAAGAGCGAAATAAATTCTGTATTGAATATGCAATACATTTGAAATTTTTACAATTTAGGAAGCATTGCCTACTCTTGTTTTAAATATAACTGTCGTTCCGACAAATACTTTCATAACCGTTGTATTTCAAGAGAAAATAACAACATAAAGAAAAATAAAATAAATAACGAAATATAACATAGCATGAAATAACAACATACAGTTGATTGAATAAATAAATAACATACAGCTGATTTGCATTATTCAGTGAATCGCTAAGCTTGTGTGATAACTCCTAAACCCGAATTTCCGACTAAAGTATAAATAACTCACAGGATTAAAAACTCGCTCAATACCGGTGTGGTTCTCTGCTGTCACATTCGGAACTAAGTCGTGCTTGGATGGCACTAGCCGGCATCGCTTATCTCCGTCAGCTGCGTAGTCCCACGCCTCGGAAAATCCTGCACTCGGATCGTACGAAAATTTGTTTACAGGATTTGAAGTCGTAAGACTTAAACTAATAGCTGAATAAAAACACCAGGTCCTTGACATTCATGACATTAAAATAACATCGTATCTCCAAAGGAGTGATTTAAAATAAATTATTGCATTGGACAAGATTTTATGAGAAAAAAATTAAGTTTTGTTTCAAAATTACGACACTACTCTAGAAAATAATAAAGTTTAGTTACTTGAGAGACAGCTGGAGAGTAGAACCCTAGCCTTAATTTACTAGAATGCTGCTCTAACAAATCTCATAATTTCTAGTTACAATCTGAATTAAATGGCAATAAACGAGGAGCTAGTAGTGAACAATAGAGATGAGTGAAAAATCTGACATAAAATTGCGTTTAGAGGCGAGATAAATGTCCGAGAAACGAGAAAGTACCTTCAGTAATTTGGTGCTGAAATATCAATTAGAGAGAGATACAAATCTTACGAACGGACTTCTTCGACATCGAAACTACCTGTGTACAATACTGTCCTGTAGATATACAAAAAACACATAACTCCAAGAATTCTGAAGAAAAAAATATACTTTTGATTAACCAACATTCGAAAAAATACCACACATCAATTCTTCATGAACTTGATGCAAAACGAATAAATACAATCTGATTAAGACTAACTAACCAATATGAGAGCAAGGAATTAAGTTCTAAATAATTGGCCTGTTATGCTGTACATAAGTCAAGATACTGAAGATAATGATGGGAGCGGCAGCAGCTGTGCACTCCAGCGCCTGAGACACGTAGCGCTACACGTGGCACCCACCAGCCCTCTAGTGCGTGTCGGGGGAAAGCGATCGTTCATTTCACTAGGCTCGTGACCGCACTAGTTGAGGGAGGGCCGCATAGTAATCTTACATTGGAAAATAAAATGTATCAACTTATAAGTGAATCCAGTTTTCAGATAGAGATATTAATAGTATTAAGAATAAATTTAGTTTAATATGATTCAAATGTCAAAGAATCGTGTTAGCGGGAAAAATACATCGAAGGATTAATCAAAATATTCTAAGATGCGATCATAAAAATTAAGTAGCCTTTAGGTAATTACAAATTTGATTTTGTAGAATACGAAGATAACGAATACACCCTCAAAAATATCAAATTCTTTACTTTCAGTTAACAGAATACGAGTGATGATGGAACTGACCGTGCTGAGAACCATGGTGGTGGTGGTGGTGGTGGTGGTTTTGGTGTGTGGGGTTGAGTCCTCCACACCCCCCCAGGTCGTGGTGTCAGGGGGGCCTATCGTGGGGGGCGTGTACCGCAGTGCGGGAGGCCGACACTACTACGCCTACAGGGCGGTGCCCTACGCAGCAGCACCCGTTGGCGACCTCAAGTTCCAGGTCAATAAGTTTTTCATCATAAGAGCCGTTCGGTATCCAAATTATATAAATTAAAGCAAGAAGTGGTTGTTTAATAACAATGAGCTATTATTACACAAATTGTTTTATTACGAAATTATGAATAGTTTCCGGATCACTCGAAAAATACACAGCTGGTTTTCCCGAGTACAATCCACAGCAAGTATTCTGATCTGCAAAATTATAATTCGCATCAAGTATGCGGTTGGAACCATCAGTTCAATCATCAGCGGCACGGAATTACAAAGTTCAATACGAAAACAAACAGGTTGCCAAGGGTTAGTTAAAATGACCAACATGAATTAGAGCAGCGTTCCTTGGAAATTTACATTTCGATACGGTTTTGCTGTAAGTTCTCTATGCGTCCTCTTTAAATAAAACCAATACAAATAATTTTGATGCAGTGAAATACTGCGAAGCCATTCACTTCAATTCGTATTTACCAACTGAACTAGAGTGTCGCGTTAAGAGTTGAGACCCCTTACGACAATGGATTTCCGAATAGACAGAAGGCTCAGTCTTTTAAAGCTGCAGAGCTATGTTGATCACATTGAGTAATATTCCTGGCATGTCGACGCGAGAACTGGTCATTCACTCTTTCACAGCCAATTGAATAAGATTTATTATATTGAGTAACATTGATTACACTGAGTAACATTCCTGATGTATCGACACAGAACCCAGTTCCCCCGGAGCCATGGACCACACCTAGGATGGCAGACGCCCCTGGTCCGTTTTGCGTTGGCGGCGGCCGCGGCTACATGACTGGGGAAGAGGACTGTCTCACAGTCTCCGTATACACTCCTGTTGTGAGTAGAACACAAGAATTATACCAGATGCAACTAGTAGATTCTACTCATCTCGCATTCTAGTTACTAAAATGCGAGCAGAGTTCAGAGAAAAGAGCGAGATTTTGTCCCAATTTCGACGCACTTTGTGTGGATTATCCTGACGCATGCAGTGCTACGTCTGCACTCTGCTCGTTCTTAGGGTAAGAAAGTGTCATTATTGGGACAATATGCCCACGATTTTCTCAGTGCACGATATGCATCTGCAAAACAATTTTGCAGATGCCAAAAATGATAGAATTTTTTACAAAATTCCGATCGTTGGTTGCGGTTGAAGAACCAATGTAACACTGTAATTATTATAGCTAAATTTCTAATAAATTTGTACGAATCTAGGACGTCACACGAGGTATTTTCAGTGCATTATTCTGTCACATCAGAAGCCGGGCGATGACACGCAGAGCCTGCCAGTGCTGGTTTGGCTGCCAGGAGGAGCGTTCGTGGTATCGGGGGCAGCAGCGTACGACCCTACCATCTTGATGGACATCGACGTCGTCCTCGTCATCCCGCAGTACAGACTCGGCATTTATGGTCATTATTTATCTTATTGAAATAATTCAATTCATTTTGAGGCACACTTGCAACAACTTGCAGAAAAGCAGGCAAGTTTTCTACAATCGGGTAGGAGACTTTAAAACCGGCGCTGACGGGGATGAAATTGATTAGGCATTGAAATTGATTTCAGGCACTCGATCAATTATCAAAACAACCAATCACAGCAACTACATCTTTATCGGTCCCAAGCAAAGCAGTGGTTGTTTCAGGCAGAAGCAAAATAAAGAAAACCTCTTAAGAACTAAACACGGCGAACTAAACGGCGACAGGCCTATCCAGGCCTATTTATTTAATGCCGAAGATACTATACTAAGATACTATACTAAAGAATAGAGACATTTAGACATTTAGGCGCGGCAGTTCGCTCTTCAAACGTAATAAAGGTTTCAGCCGAGATTTCCACGTCAAATTCACTCTTAATATACCTTTTTGCTTTATAAATTTCTGGTGTAGGATTCCTGTACATGGCGGAAGGCGCCCCTGGGAACTACGGCCTGCTGGACCAGGTGGCGGCGCTGCAGTGGGTGCAGCAAAACATCGGCCAGTTTGGCGGCGACCCTTTACGCGTCACCCTCGCCGGGGACTGCGCTGGGGGAGCGTCCGCGCTCTACCACATGATCTCCCCGCTCTCGGAAGGTAACTTGCCTCCCGTGGTTTAGTGGTTCGCATGAACGTCACTCGGAAGGTGGTTCGACTCGTACTAACTTACTGGTTCGCCTGACCGTGACGCAGAAGGCGATTTGTCCCCACACACTACTTAACGTCAATTGCACTAACGTCGCCACAAAACTTATGTCGCCGGCTTATAAAAGAAACTATTTCGAAAACAAAATAGAGCCGCAACTTACAGTCGGAATCTAAAAAGCTTTTTAGTTAATATTTGGTGATCGAACCCGAAAAATCGTAATGCTGACCAGTGTTATACGGTTTTATTGACGACCGCCGGTTACGAGTAGTAGCTCCTCAAAGCGTCCAATGTTCTTGACGGTACACGTTTGACGGTAATGTTTGACGGTAGAAGTTTTCATGACTTAAATAATTCGTTTATTTAAGTCATGTCTACTGCACAATAGACAACATCTGGAATGTAAAAATGTAGCAGGCTGCAGGTACGTGATCACAAATAGATTAATTTATGAGTCAAGTCATAAATTAGAATATTCGCAATCATTTCAAATATGGGCCCAATAAATTTCACTCAGAAATTATTGGACAGGGAACAATGTGTTCACGAATGTCGTTTCAAATACTGAACGTTATTTGATCATTAGCTGATTGATAATAGCGTGTTATTTGATCCAGGTCATCTTGTCGATTTCAGATTAGGTAAGAGCATACATACATAAAATTCATATAAATACACGGTTTTATTCACTCAGGACTGTTCCAAGGAGTCATATCCTTGTCGGGAACTCCGTTGAATTCTTGGGCTCGTCATCTGATTGCTCGCCAAACGAACTTCCTTTACTCTATCTTCACAGGGTGAGTGCATCTTCACATGAACAATTTGCACTATCTTCACAGGGTGGGAGCATCTTCACATTATCAGTTTGCACTATCTTCACAGGGCGAATTTACTCTATCTTTACAAGGCGAGTGTGATGAAATTATTTTCTAAATGAGAATAGCTGGTCATCATGAATTCTCACGCATTTTTCGAATCGGTCACCTTGTTACGCCGACCACAACCGAAATGCTTGTAAAAAGTGTCCATTACTTTCCAGATACAATAATGGCTAACAAGCAATAGCAACATTTCAGGCTTGACTGAATATCAAACACAGCTTACACGATAACTGGATATATAATGTATGTAAAGTGAAAATAAGAAATAAATAAAGGAAATTGGGATGATTATTCGAGCAAGGACAAATTGAGAACAATGGATGCTAAGAAGAAAGAACTCGAGCTACGAATGCAGACAGAAATAATGAACAAACCCCGAAAACACTATACCATTTTATTCGACTCGCAACAGAATATTACCTAGTCCTAATATCGTAATCGTATAACATGGCAGTCACGCTCAGCTTGGGACCGAAGCCTAATCTCGCTACAGAAAAGATATTACACCACTCGCGACCGACCAGTAGCAACTAAAGAACTCCACCCGGCCATGCTTAATCTACGTGGTCTGATTGAAGTAGGATATTTACAGCGCACTGCATTTCATTTATGTTGTAACCTACAACTCTATTTGACTATTTCCCAGGTTGAGTTTACGCTTCTTTATGGGGCAAGTTCGGACGCGAATAGATCTTTTACATAAAATTTTTCGAAACGAGGGAATCGAACGAAATTTAAAAAAAAATTGCAGGCACCAAGAAAGCTGAAAACATACTCATCGCTGGAATATTCCATTTCGAATTTGGGTTCATGTCTGGCTCAAAATTCCGTCTTTCCACGTTTAATTTTAAATTTAAATGAAACTTGCGACAGTCTTAAGGTTAGTTCTTATTTTCAGTTAACCGACTTTCGTGACATAGGTCAAATAAATGGAGTTTGGGATTTATTATTTAATTAAATGTTACTTCTTGACCTCGACTCATTATTGCAGATGTCCTCGATATTCTCCAAGCGTGCTCAAAGGCTGCTTCGCCGACACCAACATTGATAGGATGAAGCTCAGTCTCATGACCATGTCGAAAAGCAAAACTGTGAGTGTGATACTTTCTGTTGTACTATATTTATGTCACAATATCCTTGCGAACATTACCACACATAAGAAAAACAAAAAAATACACCAGCTCGAGTCCACTGAAAGCCACACTTCATGCCACGAAACCTATGAACTTTAATTGAAAGAATTATCATCGGCAACCAAACATTATCTTCATTTATTAACTTTAAGAAGTATATATTAGTCAAGTTACTATGCATTTAGTTTCCCGAATTAATTAATAACTCTATTATTCGAAAACTAATTAATTATCAAAAACGTTTACAGGCTGGACCTGACCTGCTGTACATAGGGAACAACAACCAGGCACCAGTGGTTCAGTACCAGCATGGCGATCCACAAAATCGCTTCCTGGACGAAGAACCTGTCATCAAGTTTGGCCAAGGCAACTTTGCGAAAGTAAATTGAACCATTCTAAATATAGTAGTGCCTATTTTATTAGTTGCCAGTGTGAAGAAATACAAATTTCTCTCATTCCTACTGTTGAAGCAATAATTCAATAGCCATAATTATCATTAGTTATTTTTTACCGCCTTCAGGTACCTGTATTGCTGATGGCTTCTAAAGATGAAGGCAACTTCATGCTAGAGATGGGTTAGTATTTTTAGTTGTAATCGCACTCTTTCGCGATAAAAAAGTAAACGAATATTTGATGATATTTTTCTTCTTTGATGAGACGAGAATCGCATGAATAAGGGCAAACACACGTACAAGTAACAGCTTACAATTCGGATCCCGGGATCAAAATAAAGAACATTTAAATGAATCGTTTTTAATAAATTGCCGGAAAAATGATTCCCTTTTTATTACAAATTCACAGCCTTGCACCAATGGACGTTGGACAGGATCGAGAAAGATGAAACGTTCAACGATGGCGTCGTGCAAGAAGTCGCCACCAGAATAGGTAACTTCCCTGCTGCAGGGGGCTAGGCTAGGTTAGGTTAGGTTAGGTTAGTTTAGGTTAGGTTTGGTTAGTTTTTCAATTCAGCTATGGGTAGAATGCCTTAGAGGTTCAAAGTAAATCTACGTACGCATTATGAATTTTACAATTATCATAAAGTTTACTCTCTCCATATCAATTTTTTCAGTCACTCCTCCTCGCGTGTCCTAGAATTAAAAATATTTCCTATTTTGTAATTTATAGAATGAGACTCTGTTCAATTTATCTGAATTGATACGAAATAGCAAAATGTTTAAAGAATGTAAAATTTACTGATTAATTCAAGTTTGCCTCGAAACTATTTCGCTAAAATGTAATTCAATGAATTTCGCTGAAGGGCTTGAAGGACACAAGGAACCGGTTCAAAAATTCGTTTGGGACAAGTATTTCCCTGAGCTGAAGGGAACCACATATGAAGAAAAAATACCTGCGATTGCGACGGTAGGTCGATTGGAACTGCAGAAACAGGATGAAATTTTTAAATACGATTGAAAATTTAAATTATAGAAAATAAAAGGAAAATTATTCGCCACCAGTAAAACGTAAAAACCAAAGACTCCTGAAAGAAAACGAAAATATAACAGAACCAAATTGTAATTGTAAAAACAATTCTATCTATATTACACATGCCATGCACCTTGCATAATTAAAACCCTAATTTTAATTATTCATTGTCCAATAAATTTTGAGCCTGTAACGTGAAATTAATGCTTCTTATTTGTTGCAGTTATTGAGTGATGCTCTCTACTACAGCGGCTACATTGCTCTAGCTCGCTATCTCAACGACCATGTACCGACGTATCTTCTAAGGTAAGTCAATATACGCGTTTGTAGCCAAGACTGGTAAATGGGATGTCGAAATTAGGATATTATTATTCTCCTTCTTTTTAACACGTTTTTCTTAGCTTAGCTTCGCGTTTGTTTGTTTGTTTGTTTGTTTGTTTGTTTGTTTGTTTGTTGTTAACATTGACAACGAAAATTAGCCCACTTCTGATTGTTCTAGAGATCTGAAATTCGGCATGCAGGCTATTTTCGCCTAACAATTTCAGATACAATCATAAAAACTAGTAATTAGAGACCGAAATTAGTTTAATTGAGTAAAGTATATATATAGTATATGTATAGTATGACGTGCGGGCGCTCACGTTATAGACGAGCAGGCGCTGACGCTGCGTATCATCGATACGTGCGTCAAGTCATACTTAATCAAGTTTTAATCGATTTTCTTGTGGACTAAAAAGTAGAAAATAAAATACTTAAAAAAACTTTAAAAAAAAACACGTTTTTCTTGTGGACTAAAAAGTAGAAAATAAATTATGGTTCGCCCCAAAAAACGTGGGTCGGGCTGTACGTTCACCATCAAATTTCCTAAATTTAAAAATCTGCCCGACACACGTTTTTTTTGGGACGATCCATAATTTATTTTCTACTTTTTAGTCCACAAGAAAAACGTGTTTTTTTTAAAAAGTTTTTTTAAGTATTTTATTTCAAATCTTTTCAACGCCTTCAAGAACAGACTAGACGAAGCTATGCAGGAACATATGTTCAGTCTTAAAATGCCTAGCAAATTACGGACCAGGCAATAAATCCAGCAGCTATCTCAATCTATCGTCAGTTATGGAAAGATCGGGTTCCAAAGGCCGGATCCCTTGTGAATCAAGTCACGAAAAATTCAAGAATCGGCAACAGGCCATGGGCCTATTTCTTCAGTGCCAACACTTCTATTCTATTATAATCTACTTAGTACCGTAACTCAGTTAGAAATGTTTCAGGTTTGACTTCGAGGATGGGCCACACTACAACCACTTCAACCGCAGCGAAATTCAAGTTGCGTCCACCATACCTCCAGGAGCTGGCAACTTGGATCCTTTGCACTACTTCCTACCTGAGGAATACCAGCCCTTCGCTACAGAAGACCAGAAGAAAATCAGTAGTAATCTCCTCTACATCATCAAAAACTTCGTGAACGCAAAGCAAGTTTAGACGTTGTGATTTAATTCTTTTATACAAACAAAATTCAGAGGATACATTTTAAAGAATATTTTGAAAAGTTGTACATTATAGATTTTAGGACTGGTTCCAGTACATTTGGTGTTGAATAAGTTTGCATAATAGTTATCGGATTCTCATGGGATTTCGAAATCCCGGTGAACTACAAAGAGCAACTAACTTTTGCCCGAAGACATTCCAAAGCGAGGATTAGAAGTCAGAACTGGCAACTAAAACATATTACAACCGTTTTGTTATGAGAATAATTTTGGTTCTTTTTCCCAGATTGCCGACAAAGTGGCCATCGACAACCGACGATGGCCTAGAGAGCCTCATAATCACCAAGGAAGCTGGAGTCGAGCAAGGAGAGTTCATTTCGAAGGAACGGGCCGCTGCATCTGAATACATATTCAGAGAACAGAATAAGCATACTCTGGCCAAACTGCGTCGTCTGGTTCCACGCGATGAGCTGTGAAGGCTTCCACCAAAACAATGACTTGCAACAATATGATGTCTCCGTATTATCATTTCATTCAAATGAACTTGTTGAAAATAAAATAAGTGCATAATAACATAGATTTTTCGTAGCCTCGCTTTAAATTGGCAAAAGTTTTATGAAAAGCAAGAATGTATACGTACGTAGTATACTCGTGTAGCGAGACACATATAGCACAACGTAGTATACTCGTGTAATGAGACACATGAAGCAAGTACGTAATATACTCGAGTAGTGAGACACATAAAGCAAGAACGTTATATACTCGTGTAGTGAGACACATAAAGCAAGAACGTAAGAGACTCGTGTAGTGAGACACATAAAGCATGCAGGAACGTAAGATACTCGTGTAGTGAGACACATAAAGCTTGAAAGTCATAAAATGAAGATAAAACATCGAGCCTGCATTATTATTAGAGCTCAGGTATAAATTGATACTGCCGCTAACGATTTAAAAATATATTTATTTAAATTAAACTCAGTGTACGGGTGTTACATAGTGTACCTGTAAATTTTCTTATAATCTGGAAACCATTTTATTGCCAATAAAACTATATATTACTTGGACATACACTGCATGAGTTAAGCGGATTGCCACAAAGTATATATTTTAAAATGAAAATTTATGCGGGTAGTTGTTTCTGATTTTTCAATTTGTTCTGATGCAGAATACATATGTTGATTTTTTAATTGCAAATTTGAACAATTCATTATTTTTGGAGTGGCTCGCAATGAAATGCATGGTTTCTCGCCTATGCACATGTGTTGGATGGTCTCAACCCGGCCTGCATAGGATGTTTGTTAACGTCTTCCAACCCCAGTGTATGCATGTCTCATATTCACCCTAACAAAATTTAGAGTCGCCCCAGCTTCTGGTAATCCAAATCAGAAGCTGCCGCGTCTGTAAATTTTCAATGGGCAATTCTAAATTATATGCACATGACAATGATGCGGTCACGTTTAAGTGAGCGCATCAAATATAGTGAACGCCTAAATATTCAAGCAGACAAATAATATCTCTGTAGGTACATGATATTAACAAAATTTCTCAGCCTTACACAGAATTGATGAAGTTATGTCAAAATCAATCTAGCGCAAATATTTCAAATATACATATATTTCCATTTGTAGTGACGAAGTACGTGATAATGCAATAGAAGCATAAAGTTCATCCACAAATTTAAGTACTAATCAATGTTGACTTAATAATTATTTTTCATTTCAAAAATTGTAAGTGAAACGAAAGCGGTCAGGTCTTCGGAAGCATTCAGCAAACAAAACTTCAGAGACAATATAACTAGTTAGCTTTATAGCGGAAGAATAAGAAGAAAGACCTTTTTCTCCTGTAGGGCAACTTATAATCCGTTATACTGTTCAGAGACTCGCATAGACACTGAGGAAGACGATTTGAAACATATCATGGCAAGATATTGTCTCCCGAGACCATTATATATACATCGGTGCTTGACATTTGTGTGATGCAAAACAAATTAGCATTTGATACATATTGAGCTCGGAGCACATAAAAAAAATATTCAGGGTATTGATTCCATATTCGTTCACATTGATTACACTACACATTATTCCCATTCAATTCTTGATTGTGTTGTTTGTGAGACCACGATAAGCGTGGGAGATAATGCAGCTGTCGTAAGTATCGCGTCTCTCAAAGGCCTTTCATCTCAAGCTTCGTCCAACATCCTTGTTATTCACATAACTGACCAAAGAATGTAGTTTTCTTTTCGAGAAAGCCTTGTTTGTCAATCATAAACATTGATTTCACTTCTAGTGAGTGTAGAGTTATCGATTATCTGAGGGTACGATGATTCTTGAATTTAGAAGAAACTAAAAAATTATATAATTTATACTTTTGAGATTCTCAACTTTTAGTATAATTCAACGAAAGCTCCCACAATTAAGGACACCTAGCGTGATCGCTTCAGTATTCGAACTTCGGTATTATAATAATATTTATAATTTATCAAATTCATTTTAATTCCTAGCATTGCATTAATATTCCCATATTCCTGCAGACCAACTTTGCTGAGCGTCACCGGTACATTTTTATAATATCATAGGCTTCTCAATAAGTCCGGCCATGCGGATGATAGTAGCGGCGCTGGCGCTGCTCTGGGTCGCGGGCGGCGAAGGCGTCGTCGTGGATGTGACGGGGGGCGCCGTGCTGGGCGCTGAGGAGACCAGCGCGGGGGGCAGGCGCTTCTTTGCTTTCAGACACGTGCCCTTCGCGGCGAGCCCTGAGGCTGACGGCAGGTTTAAGGTAGGACATATCGACGCATCTTTAATAAGTAAAATGTCACCCATTAACTTCTCAACACTGCCTTTTATCTAAAAACTCAATTTTTATCGCAATTTCATGATTATAGCTACCGTTCTAGATGACCCTCATTCGAAGTTTTCTGTTTTTAAATTGTACTTCCCGGTTTCTGGGGATGTTCACTTTTACTAAGTTATCATGAACAGTAAAATGATCGCAAAAATGTTTATCTGCCGCAATGACAGCCGCCACGGCCTGTTCATCCGTGGCGAGGTGTCCTGATCTCCAACGTGTCGGGACCTGTCTGCGCTCAGGCCGGACGTGGCGTTATGGTCGGGCAGGAGGACTGCTTGCATCTTTCAGTTTACACCCCGCACGTGAGCCAACCATTCATTCTTCTGTTGTGTATGCCGTGTTATATAACTTGACTTTAGTGAAGGCGCGGCCGTTGGCCACTAATTTAACTCTTACACTAGATTACTAGCGCCAGAAACAACGCACGCCACAATGTCCTCACTTAACTCATTGTTCTGCAAAGTCCTGTGAACCTGCAATGCACAGTTGTGCGCAATAGACTTTAAAGTTAAGCATTGCTTGAGTACGTCCTATAAATTTACAAAACGTTTATGTGCACACTGATATGTTATGTAAGTACATATGATGCTTAATGACGAAAATGCTGTTTATTGACAAACTAATTGTCACAGTTATCCACACGTTCAAGCAAGGAGGAATTTTGCAGATGAATTCTTGTAGAAACTAACAATCACTTAGTTTCAAATGCACCGGAACCATTAATTGTCCCAGCAATTCGACGAACTAATTTTTGCAAGGATTTGGAAAGCGAACAATCTTTGCCGGTGTTGGTTTGGCTGCACGGCGGAGCTTTCATCGTCTCTGGTGCGAGCGACATCGACCCTCGTCTGCTCATGGACCGAGACGTGGTGCTGGTCGTCCCTCAGTACAGACTAGGATTTTTGGGTGAATTTAATACAAATTAAGAAAGTGTATCGAAATCATCTGTCCGAAATGATAGCAATCGATATCGAAAGCGGTATCGATATTCATACTGCACGCACATCATCTGACTGATCGATAAGGAACTCATCATGCCGATATAGTGAAATTACTGTCATCATAATGATTTAATGAACGAACTTCAGAAAATAATCTTAGAATACAGAATGAATTTATATTCTCCTCTGCTACATACAGCAAGACAGAAATCTAACCATTTTTCCAGGATTCATTTATGCCTTCGATCCTGCCCCCGGGAACTACGGCCTGCTGGACCAGGTGGCGGCGCTGCAGTGGGTGCAGCAAAACATCGGCCAGTTTGGGGGCGACCCTTCACGCGTCACCCTCGCCGGGGACTGCGCTGGGGGAGCCTCCGCGCTCTACCACATGATCTCCCCAGCTTCTGTAGGTAATTATTTATTTTTTTCTGCTGAATGCATTATTATATTACATTTTTGAGAAAAAATTTTATATGAAACATTATGTAACAGTTACATTTTAAAAACTAACATATGGAAAACCGCTTACGCTACTCCTGGATGACGAGATTTGCAGCCACAGTGGCTCATTACAATTGGTCTTTAATACCGACATGCATGGTGAGTGGAATCATGTTGTGCGCCATGAAGGCGTATACATATTTTTTAATTTCCCACATAACTGTGCAAGTTAAATTTCTTCAACAGGTCTGTTTCATAGAGTGGTATCGGTGTCTGGAACACCACTGGATGTGTGGACAAAACACCCCGCTCTGAGAAGGACAATGGTGGCCTTCGCTGATGCTCTCAGGTGAGAGGAAATTGAGATATAATTTCCGTGTGTGTGAATGCTATCTGGTTTAATTACTTCCGTACTCTTTTATAATTGTTTCCGAATAGTAAACTGATGCTTTCGGCTGTCAAAATTCAGAAAACCAACCAAACAATAGAAATGCACCCAATACTGAAAAATATGAATATATCAAAAATGTTCACTATTAAAACAGGAGCAATCGAGATTAATGGTCATTGCTTTAGCACAAAAACTGAAAACTCCAAAGAAATGTTTTATTGAATAAAAAAACATTTATTGCAATTGATGTTAGACACAGAAGGAACAATCCATGGAGAGGTCGAACTGAATTATATCAATGCAGTAATTGTATGTTATAGCAATGCAGTAATCGTATGTTATAGCAATGCAGTAATCGTATGTTATAGCAATGCAGTAATCGTATGTTATAGCAATGCAGTAATCGTATGTTATAGTAATGCAGTAATTGTATGTTATAGCAATGCAGTAATCGTATGTTATTGCAATGCAGTAGTCGTATGTTATAGCAATGCAGTAATCGCATGTATGTTGACCAGATGTCCTCGGTCGGCCCTGAGCGCCATGGTGAACTGCTTTATCGCCGCCCCTCTGGAACTTCTACTCAACACGCAAGGAGCATTTCTCGAGGTATCTTACTGTTTACTCTGAAATATTAACCTATTTAAATTATTTTACGGTTTATTCACTAATATTTAATTGGTATTGTATTAGTATTTTTTTAAGTATTCGAATCTTCTTTTTATAATATGTTAGAAAGTTTTAATGAATTTAAAAATGACTTCTGGCTGTTACCAATAAACGTTGCAGATTTTCTAGTAGTTGCCGCGATCGAACGAAAACTGGATAATTTGAACAGGTTGCATTGCTCGGCGTAACGGTGAAGATTGAGAGGTGGTCGGCATATTAAAATATTCAATTAACATATTAGGTAAACATATTTCTCGGCTATGATATATATCTTACTTTAGAAAACAACCTAGTTGTCCTCTCTTCAAATGCCTTGTTCAGAGAAGTTCAAATGGCCATCACAGCTTACGGTTTTCATATTTTCATCAGGCATGTTTATATCATTTGCAATGTTCAAATTTGGGTGCACAGTTGTTACTATTTGAAAAAAATTAGAATTAAGGTCTTAAAATATCAGACAGTTTGCTACTCTTATCAACAAAGTGCCGTGCAACAGAGGCATGACATCCTGATCGGCAATGCGTATCTCGCCCCAGCGGTACAATCTCGTCACGTCTCGGATGAGTCTGCTCAATTCCTGCTCGATGAGCCGCTTACTTTGCTCACGCATGGTAACTTCACTGAGGTGAGATTGAGCAAATAGGAATCGCTCACATGTTGCTCATATTTATGCGAGCAAATAATAAGGGAATCTCACTCGTGTAAATTTAAGTCGATGAATAAATACGATATTCGCAATTGATTATTTGTACAATGTTCATTGATTTTACAATCCTTCATGCACAGGTTCCAGTCCTTCTTGTAACATCAAAAAATCAAGGGAATTACATCGTTGGCATGAGTAAGCATATAATATAGCTTAAATTTTTAAATTAATCGATGAACATAGTCAACTGTACTTTTGTTGTCAATAAGTTTGAATTTTTGTAGATACTTGATGTTGAATTTTGGTAGAAGTAAAAACAGTATAAAGATATATAATAACTAGCATTTTTGTTCCATGCATTGCAGCTCTCTATGAATGGCTGCTGACGATGAGGGACGAACTTGACGATGACTTTAACGACGTATGCATCGCTAAAATTGTCAAAGCATTGGGTAAGATTGTTATATAATTTCGCTGGCAAGTATGATTATTTGTTAAGATGTTGAAAAAAAAGTTGGGAAATGATAGTTTGCTGACGTATAATTTAGGAAGCGATCTCGGTTTCTGCTATCGTATTAAATGAAATTAATTTGTAAAATTCGCGCGTTGATTGTTTTTGTTGTGGACACGAATATAGATTGAATTCTTTTTGCGGCTGATTTGTTGGGTGAAAAATTTCTCATGAAATTCATACGTTGTAATTTTTTCGTACGATATAAAATTTCTATCCCGAACGCTGAGAATAATCTTAATGCGTTTATTTATCCGTTTGTAATGAAACATTTTTTGCAGGTTTCATTCCTGGGGGGAAGGAGGAACGTCTAATTCGGCAGCAATACCTGACAGGACTCCGTGACACTTCTCTTTTAGATAAACTGCCAGCCCTGGCTGAGGCAAGTTTACTATTAATTTAAGTTAAAAAATATTATTTACATTACAGGAATTACATTTTGACCATGAGTGTAGATCTCATCTAAGAAAGAAATGATTTGACAATGGCTTTACTTTACTGAATTTGTTACTAAAATTATAATTTAGTACATTAGTATTGATTGCCTGCATGGAAAGTTACTATTTCGTTACGCCTGATTTTGTCATGCGAAAAGACATTCCATATCATGTACGCTTACTAATTTTCTAACATGGCTCAATTGGAGCATAAAATTGCACTGGCGTTTTTTAATATTTCGTTTATTTGGCAATTTAGCTGCTAGGTGACGCTCTATACAACACCGGGACACTCTTCACTGCACGACTTCTTAGCAAAAAAGTTCCCACGAGAATTTTACGGTGAGTTAGTGAATAATTAACTATACGAAACGTAGCACACATACTAAAATTGAAAATAATAAGGGAAGCCATGGCCTCTGCGTAAGAATGATACGGAAAAAAGTGATGCATTTCGCATTTTTTGTCGTTTGGTCAAGGGCACTGATATTAGGGTAGCGAGTTCAGGGTTCAAGCCCCAGCTAGCAGTGAAAATTTTGTGATTTCGCTTACCCAGTACTTGTATTATTGACATTTTGTTACCTTACCTACAGGTTTGATTTCGAAGACGGTCCTCATCGGTTTAATCATCACCCTGATTTATCCGAGAAAAAGCTGATGGCGCCGGGGGCTGGTCATCTGGATCCACTAAATTATTTCCTGCCGAAGCATGTCGAGGAGTTCGAGACCAAGGAACAGCAGCGCATCAGCTTCCTTATGCTGGATATAATTGAGAATTTCATGAACGGACGGTACGAAGTTTAACCCTATTTAATGTATCTCTGATCCAACCTCAGGGTTACTTAATTGACTGTCAACATTTTTAAAGAAGAGAGATTTCATGCGTGTCATAGATGATTTGAGAAACAAAATAGTGCGACTAATTAACACCAAATTATGAATGATTCCACGAATGCAGAGAGCCGACAGTCAGTGACTTGCCCCAAGTCACTGCAGAGGAGGATGTGGAGTGCGCTGTGGTAAACCGCAATGGCTTCTTGACTCAAGATTCTTTCTTGCCTCCTGAGCGCGCGGCCGCTGCTAGGATCTTCTTCGAGAAGCATCATGTCAGCGCCCTGTACCAGATGGGCATGCCACCTCCCAGGGATGAGCTGTAAAAAAATAATAGTTTATCGCAATGAACTTATTAAAATTATCTTCTAATACTGAAATTTTTATCCCTCTACCTCTCTGTGCTAATACCTGCTTTCAAATTATTAGTTCTTCTGACGAGTAGTAACTATTGAGTTCTAGATAACACAGTTCATGCAAGCGACGACCATTTTATACTGAGCGTTTTTTATATTGTAACTTCAAGCAATAAATAAGTCCAACGTCATTATATGAGTTGCGGCGAAATGACTACAAATTATAGATCATGCGTGTTATATTATCAGAAATTTACGAGTAAGTTCAATTACTAGCATATTAGATTGTTAGGTTTTTCTTGACCGGCATAGATAATTCCTGCCCATTGAAAATCAAACTATTTTAAATCACGTTATCCAAAATCCCGTCATCTCAACCCTTAGTTAGGAACCCCATTATAACATCCATGTTGTACTAGTAGTTCAACCCATGATTGAACTAATATATACCATGATATTTCAACTATATTAAATCATCATGATTCATCCCATGGTTCAAGTAGATGATAACATCCATGATAACATCTGTCCTGGCAATCGGGCTAAATTACCGGACGGAATCAACAAAGTGTTTGGCTGGCCTCCTATATCAGAGTTCGGTCACAGCAATAGCAAACGGAAGCAGTGGGAAGGCACCCTGCTGCTGGGAGCAGCAACATTATTATTATTCAGACATGCAAATGCAGACACGAAACAGTAGAACCACCATTCCTTACTACGTCTACCAATAATAATATACAGTCTTGCTTTTGCTGGTCGCCAAACATTTTTGAAAGCGGTGCCGCTGCCGCAGTATGGGATTGGGAGGGCGAGGGTGCTGCTGAGTGCTGATCCTTAACGCTCTTCTTAAATCATACCAACATAATACCATGATTTATAAAATGTTTTTGAGCTTTGAGACTCCTTTTGATAAAGCTATAAACCTAAAAAATTATAATAACTAATAACATAGGCTGTACTCTGTAGGCCTGTAGACTGTAAGAGCGTAGACTGTAAAGCCTAGTCTGCCTAGAGGCTGTAGGTCACCCATCACTCAATAGGTGTAGGCGTGTAGTCTGTGGCCCCTGTAGTCGTAGTGTAGACTGTAGTGTAGGGATCTGTGAGACTGTGACAGTAAGACTAACTAGCTAAGTCTAACTTATCCTGTTCATAGATTCTTATTCTTACTAGTTTTTAGTAGTGTTCTACGAATAGGATGGAAGGATTACCTTAGGGCTTAGAGATTAGGTAACTCTAATGCTGGTATGAGTGGTGTCAACACACACATGTTCCGCACTTCAGCGTCTTCAGCTACTTCAGCGCTGAAACTACTAACACTTAAAAGCTGAAGACGCTGAAGTCGCTGACGTGGCGAACGATTGATCGATGGAACGCTGCGGCTGAACGAATTCCGCGAATTTGCCAAGAAATAAAGTAACGTTTTTCATTATCATATATTGAAAAATTAAGCACTCAAACTACGCATATCTCCCTTTTGGGTTCTACAAATCAAAAAAATTAAAAAATCTGACAAATACCATATGCTTAAAACGGCACTATACTCATGTTCATACAATTAAACTCATTGCCTTATCTTGGTTTGAACAGTCGAATCTTACGACTATGAAAGCATTTTTATATAAACAAGGCGGAAATCAATCAATCATATTTTAATTTAAACCACCACACAGCAATATCAGTAAAACTCCGCACTCGACCACAACATTTAGCACTCGCCAATAGTGCCTAGCGCAAATCGACCTCATACGGTTTAACTACTTCAACGCTTATATCTCAGAAAATATTCAACCCAGAGAGTGCGGAGTGATGAAATAACGTGAATCAATTACTTATTCAATA